TTTCAGGTAGAATATATCCCTAGAAGTGGAATTGCTGGGATAGGGTACTTCTATGGGATACAGTACTTTGGTACTTCTGTGGGTTACGGTACTTCTATGGGTTATGGTACTTCGCCATTAGCATTTGGAGGAACCTGATTCTGATCTTAATGGGTTAATCTGGAGCCATTCTTCCTCGTGGGTTGATGCTGTGTGGCGCAGGGCTTGGGCACAGAACTCTGGGTTTGGATCTGACTTGAGCCAGCTACTTGCCGTGTGACCTCTGGTGACTTACTTGTCCTCTCCGTCTCCGTCTCCCCACCTGCCAAGAGCAGGACAGCCTAAGGAGCATGGAGGGAGATGGGCCTGCCAAGTGCTTGACTGTGCCAGGCTCTGAAGTGTGAATTAACTGGGAGCTCTTAGAGCTTTTAGGGTTGAAACATGTTCTTGTCACAGCCCATCCCCGGCCACTCAGGTTCTGAGGGCCCCTGAAGGCTTTCAGTGCACTTGGGCTGCAATCAGCAGAGATACCACCCCCCATGGAGGGCTGGGTAGATGTGACATGTGGGAGGGAAACATGCCCAGCTAAAGGAGGTTCCTCAGTTGTACCCCAGAAAGCCTTAGCCCTTGATAATGTTCTTCTTAAAATAGCTGAGCTGGTTGGAATGTACCAGCCTGGCGGTGGGTGGGGTAGCAGGAGCCTGTAAGTGGCGCTCTCATGCACCAGGCAGTGAAGCCCCTGAGCCTTCAAGGGGAGGGGTCTTTCCCCCACTTTACGGGTGAGAAAACAGGCCCTGAGGGGCTGGTATAGGGACATTCAGCTTGGAGACACATGGATGGTTCTTGAACCCCCTTTGCTTTTCTTGCAAGCTCATGTTGTGTTTCGCTGGTTTTGCAGCAGCGGGCATCACACCGTGCAAGGAGGTGGCAGGACCCAAGCGGGGGGGACCTGCCCTGGGAGCAGGGGTTTCAAAGCTCCCGGCAACCACAGGGGGCTGGACAGTGTGGGCAGGGACCTCGCTGGGTGGCGACGGTGTTAATAACCACATGTGGCGCTGGCCCAGTCTTCCGGGCGCTGCGCAGGAGGTAGAAAGGTGTGCATTCTGGGTCCTGTCCCCACCCCAGGGCTCCCACCTGTGCCCCGGCCTGTGATGGTCTTGGCTTTGCCCTGTTTTAGGAGAGAGACCCACTACCCTCTTTTGTCCTTTGAACTTTTGTGTGTGATTTTTTTTTTTTTTTTTTTTTTTTTTTTGGAGACAGAGTCTCGCTCTGTCGCCTAGGGTGCAGTTATGTGATATCGGCTCACTGCAACCTCCACCTCCTGGGTTCAAGCGATTCTCTTGCCTCAGCCTCCCAAGTGGCTGGGATTACAGGCGTTGTACCACTACACCTGGTTAATTTTATATTTTTAGTAGAGACGAGGTTTCAGCATGTTGGCCTCGAACTCTTGACCTCAGGTGTTCCAACTGCCTTGGCCTCCCAAAGTGCTGGGATGACAGGTGTGAGCCACTGCACTGGGCCGTGAGTGACTTCTTTCCTGCTAACCAGGACTGAGACATAGGAACAAGTTACAAAGCTTTCAGAATAAGACTTAAGACGTGACTTGCAGTTCATAGTTGGGCTCTCCTGCATTGTTGAATGGCTGATGCACAGCTGTGCTGGGAGAGACTCGCCCGTCCCTGGAGCATTGTGCCTGGTGAGTGTCTTAGTTGGGCAACACTGCATGGTCTGTGCCAACCATGTGACTTATGGTGGGGGCTTGAGCCACAAGGTGTCAGCCGTGTCTATGTCACCGAACCCCAGTAAGACTCGGGACTGCATCCCTGGTTGGTGATGCTCTGTCTGTTGAAGCTGGGAGGGTTCAGTGATGTCTGTGGCCTTTACTGGCAGCCCCTGCCTGGCCCCTGTTCCGGGAGCCTCTTTCTTTGCTGGATTTTGTCTGTCATCCACCTTGACTTTGACAGTTGCGCCCAGTCCTCTGAGTGAATTACTGACCTGAGGGTGGGGGTGGTGCCCTCTGGGCTCCTGAATAGGCATGAGCCTATGTGTCAAAATACCGCATAGAGTGAACACCTCCATTTTATGGTTCAGAAAACGGAGGCTGGGGGCACTTGCAGGGTGCCCAGGCCCCTGCTGTTGTCAACCAGGAACAGACACAGAGCACACAGCCCTTCCCAACCAGGGTTTATTCGGCACCTGGGCCCAGTGGCGGCGGCCTGGCTAGGTTGGGCACTACAGGGTCCTAACTCCTACCAGGTAGAAGAATGTCACTGAAGAGGGCAGGGCGTGGTGAGTGCGGGTCATGCGTGGCTGTCTGAGGGGTCGGGGAGAGGCCAGGACCAGGAGGTGGGGGTGCTGGCCCCAGGAAGCCACCCCCTTCACCCACAACCTTGGGCTTCACCAGGACCGGGCAGCAGAGACTGCTCTGCCTTCTCGGGTGGGGGCAGGGGAGGCCTCCTTCACGTCACAGCAGGGAAACACCGTGTGGAGGACGGGTTGAAAAGACAGCCTCCGCACCAGTTTCTAGAACACAGGGGATGTCCTTCACAAGCAGAAGGGGCCAGGGGTGGGCTCCTCCGCGGGCCGTTGGGAGGCTGTCAGTCCCGTCCCACCGTGCACCAAACAGCTAGAAGGACAGAGACAGGTTAGAGGGAAGGAGTGCGAATGTGGGCAGCTGTGTAGCTGGTGGGGGCCGTCTTGAAGGGCAGGTGGGGAGATGGCTTTGAGTCCTTATGTGACCCACGGGTGCTTGCTGGTCACCCAGGAGCAAACCACACATCTGGGAAGGGAAGTAGGGGGCTGTGGAAGGGGTGCTCTGGTGCAAGCTCCGGCCGGCATGCCTGGATGTGGGGCCACCTCAGGGCTGGCTCTGAGCCTGGAGCTCTCCTCTCCCCCTAGGACCCTCCCTGCACACCTGGCATTGGGGTCAGGGGCTTGCAGGCAAGTCCCTGGGAGAGGCGGGGCGGCTTCTAGGCTCTTGCCCGGCTCTCCAATCAAGTGGCCACTGCAGTTCCAGGCCTTCGCCCCCTACCTGGCACCGAGATCCTGGAGAGGGCCTCAGGCTGGCTCAGTGTGTCCACCTTGACGTGCCGGAACGCCTTACACACGGGACTTTGCAGGTGCCTGCGACCCAGGGACATGTGTTAGGGGCACCAGGGGTGGAGCTTGGCATGTGGATCCCCTGTTAATCCTAGCTCTGCCCAAAATGGGGAGCTTATAAATAAGCCCGGGGGGGGGTCTTTGGACTCCAAGCCTTTGTGGGAAGGTGAGGGGGTGCCTAGGGAGGCTGACTCTGGGGATCTCTGGGGTAGGCAGTGAGCCTTACATGGGCAGCGGGATCCCCCTACTCAGTGCACAGAGCATCGACCTCCTGTTTTACCCTAGGAGGAGGAGTGGGGCCATCCTCTACCTGGGACGGATGACAACACAGCAGCTGTGAAGGGTTTTAGTCCCTCATTTTGTGAGTCACTGAAGTACGGACAGGGAGGGGACACCCTCACTTCTCATGACAGCCCCTGTTCCCACAGGGGTCCTGAGTTTCTCTGCAAACTGAGTGTTTACCCGGGAAGCAGGATATCGGGGCATGAGCTACCCCCAGGCCCTGCTTCCTGCCTGTGGGGTCTGGCGCATCACAAATTAGGCTCCACCCAGAGTGGGGAACAACCTGTCCCAGATGTGCTCGGAGCAGACGACAAAGGCCTAAAGCCCATCAGAGCTGATGATACCATCCCCCATCTCCCTCCGTCCTGCCAGGCACTCAGCTGGGGGGAGGTTAAGCCCTGGAACAACTGATCACATGGGGACTGAGGTACCTTCAAGGTCAGGTCCTCAGCTCTACAGGGTGGTAAAGAAGGCAGTGCCTTGGCCCACAAGGTGCTCTACAGGGAAAGAGCGTGGTGGGGGGGATCTCTACCCACCAGGAGCTCCTGGCTCCAGGAAGACAGCCCCCACACCTGCTATGGACACCCAGTGTCTCACCTCTTCCATGCCTCCTCCGTCTCCCAGAACTCATAGATGACAAAGGTGAAGCCATCCGAGAGCCTCACGGCAGTGATGCTGCAACAGGAGACAGGCAGGGAGGCTGGGGCTCAACAGTGGCCACCCTAGTCCTGTAGCCCACCCCTATACACAACCGCTGCCTTCAACCTTTCTGGTCCTCCAGCGAGACTCAACAGGGTCCCCCCACCACCTGGAACAAGGCCTGGTTTCTTATAGTGGCCAATAGCTATTTGTCAATGACATGTAGTTTTTTTGAGACAGGGTCTCACTCTGTTGCCCAGGCTGGAGTGCAGTGGCACCATCACTTCAGCCTCCCACGTAGCTGGGACTATAGGTGTGCACCACTTGGCCTGGCTAATTCAAAAAATGTCCTAGTAGAGCTGGGGTCTTGCTATGGTCCCCACGCTGGTCTTGAACGCCTGGGCTCAGGCAGTCCTCTCGCCTTGGCTTCCAAACTGCTGGGATTACAAACTTCAGCCACTGTGCCCAGCTGAAATGTCATGTTAAAATCTTCACCTTTATTTAAACAAAACCAGGTGGCTGCGTGTGATGGTTCACACCTGTAATCCCAGAACTTGGGAAGTCTTGAGGGGCCGAGGCAGGTGGGTTACTTGAGGCCAGAAATTCAAGACCAGCCTAGCCAAAATGGCAAAACCTGGTCTCTTAAAAAGTTGCCAGGCCTGGTGCCATAGGCCTGTAATCCCAGTTACGCAGGAGGCTGAGGCTTGAGACTCACTTGAACCTGGTGGGTAGAGGCTGCAGTGAGCTGAGCTTCCACCACTACACTCCTGCCTGGGCAACAAAGCAAGATTTGGTCTCAAAAACAAAAAATATATATATACATATAAACCCTATCTTTAAATTATCAAAGCATCTTCCTCCTAATTGTCATCTTATTTAATCCTTGCAACAACCCCACTGCACTGTACCTGACCGAAGGAGGCTGCGGGAGGGGGGCATTCACAGAGGAAGGGGCTGCAAGCAAGTCCCCCTTCACTCTTTGGGACCCAGAGGACAGCACTCACCTCATTTTAAAGGCGCAGATAGTCTATGCCGCTCCGGGCTTCTCTCTGCAAGTGCACTACAATGAGGAAGCCCCAAGTGACCATAAAAGGGCGGGGGGGCAAGAGCAGGGGATGAGGGGCAACAGTGCTCAGCCTGGAGGGAGGGGGACAGACACACCGCTGTGCAGCGTTCGGTACACTGTGCTGGGCAAGTGCAGTCTCGCCTGGCTCTCCAAGCTGGCCGTCTCCAGTTCAACAAACAGCACTGTCTTCTACTGAGGCTCCGAAACCAGAGCCTCTATATCCACCTTGCCTCCTTTCCACAGCCTATCGGGGTGGCCCTACTTCACTCTGGGGCCTCCCACTTCATGTAACAGAGAAAAGATCAAGTCTGGCCCCTGCTCCTATACAGTCTGTCCTGCTGGATGGGAGTGGGTCCTGCCCACCACCCTGGCTACTTACTCAAGCGTGGCCCCTGATGGCCACCCTGGGTCTCCGCAACAGCCGCACTCCTGCCCAGGCTGCTCCTCCCCTAGTGCTACAGGTCAGGCCTCAGTGCACAGGGGGCCCAGGAAGACCCCGTGCAGGACCTGGCCTGCCTGGTTCACAGCCATGCCCCCAGGCAACAGGGCGAATGAATGTGTGCCCTGGGGATGGAAGAAAGCCCTGGAAAGGGAGGGAGTTGGGCAGAGCCTTGGTGTAGAAATGAAGGGCAGGGGAAACACCTGGGCCTCATGCTCTTTAAGGGCTACTACCAGCAAGAACAAACGGCTGTTGTCTTCTGTGGACCCCTCCCCTGTGGCCATGGCCTAGCTTTACCAAGGAGCTACATAATCCTGGGGGGATGAACGGGAATTTGAGGGTGAGGCCCCTTGCCCCGCCCTAGACATCTCACCACAGACCCATAGGGAGGAGGGAGAGAATGGCCGCTACGTTTCCATCTCAGCACATCCGTGGGGAAGGGGAGAGGGGCGGCTACATTTTTTGGGCATTTCCCTTCAGCCTCACCGACTCGACTCCCCTTTCCTTTCTCGGTTGTTAACTGAGCACACACTACATTCTGGGCCTGGTGTTAAGCAGCAACTCCTGCAAGAGCAACAGCTAAGGCTGACTGAGCGCACGTGGCACACCAGGCCCGGCCAGAGCCGTTCACACTTGAGATTCACACACTTGATTGTATATGAATCGTGATCACCCCAACAAGGAGTCCTGGGGGTGGCCCCCCCCTTTTACAGATGAATGAGCTGAGGACAGGGAGATGAAGGCACCTGCCACGTTTGCATGACCTGAACCCAGTTCTTATTCACCCAGCTATGTGTCTCCCTGGGGTGCGATTTGTACTTAGGGGTAAGCCTAGTCCCGCGCTGTTCCTCCACTGCCAGGCAGAGCTCCCTGCCACCATCCCTCCCACTCACGCTTCAGCAGCTCACTCACTGGAAGCAGCTCCTCGCTCCGGCAGTCCCCCGCAGATACGGGCGCAGGGAGTCCAGAAACTCGCTGAGTTGCTCAGGGCACACGGCCATCTCCTGCCGGACCAGCTGCAGGTGCTGCCGGGCCACAGCAGGAGTCAGTGTGGGGCTCCATGCCAGAACTTCTCCCTAAAGACCCCATCCGGCGTCCATGACCTCCCTCCCTTGGTCAAAATAAACCTCCCCGACTTTTCATTGTATAATGAAAAGTATAAGAAAGGACTAGAACCTCAAGAGCCCAGTGCAGAGGTAGCCCCCACAAACGGGGAAAACGGACGAGTTGTTTACCCAGTCCCCACCCATGTCCACAGCTGCCTCCAAGGCCTCCAGGGCCCAGAGACACAGCACATCCACTGACAAGAAAAACTTAGTTGATGGACTCAGCATTTTCACATGACTGTCCGGCTGACCACTTTGCTCTAGGCCAAACTTTTTTTGGATCAAAGTCCAGGAGCCTCTGGGCCAGGTATGGTGGCTCACACCTATAATCTCAGTACTTTGGGAGGCCGAGGTGGGCGGATCACAAGGTCAGGAGTTCGAGACCAGCCTGGCCAACATGGTGAAACCTTATCTCTACTAAAAATGCAAAAAATTAGTCGGGCATGGGGGCGGGCACCTGTAATCCCAGCTACTCAGGAGGCTGAGGCAGGAGAATCGCTTGAACCCGGGAGGTGGAGGTTGCAGTGAGCTGAGATCGCACCACTGCACTCCAGCCTGGGCAATAGAACGAGACTCAGTCTCAAAAAAAAAAAAAAAAAAAAAAAAAAAAAAGGTCCAGGGAGCCTCAAGAAATACCCCCAGAGTCAGTGGGGTGGCTCCTGGGCCAGGGCAGGGTCTGGGGGCCAAGTACTGGGGCCACATCTCCCCTCATGGTGGTCCCAGGCAGGGAGAGGGGGGTCGGGGCATTGAGCCACTTGGATCCTGGCAGTCCTGGTATGGGCAGGGATGTGGTCCCAGGAGAGAGGTGGGAAGGGAACTCACCATGTTGGTGCCATCTTCATCTGAGAGGCGCTGCTGCAGGTCGAACCACAGTGCCTGAAACAATCCAGCACACAGTGATGCTAGACCCAGAGCCCCACTCCGCCCCAGGTGCCAGGAGCTCTGGGATCCCTGGGGCTGTTGGGAGCTCCTAAGGGCTGGGCCCTGTTACACAGGGCTGGAAGACCAACCCTAGGAAGTGGCAGAGACTCCCTCTGGCCCTGGCATCTAGGGGCAATGGGAGGCAGAGAGGCCCAGGTGATCCTCTACAGAGGGCATAAGGGGGGCCCAGAACATGTTGCTGGGGCAAGGACAGCTTGGGAGAGGCAGCACTGGGGAATCCAGAGGCCTGCGTCCAAGATGCTGGGGTTTGCCACGATGATGAGCAACAGCCCTTAGATTCCCTATAACTTACAGTTCACCCCAATCATAACCCCCAGCGCCTCAGGGATCTAATGGGGTGACCTGTTCTCTCTGGCCTAGATGGTTTACAAATACACATTCAATCTTCCAGACTCCCCAGGGTAGGTGCTACCCCACTGTAAGTTTCAGTCTCCAGGAACCACATCTGCTCTGTTCACCCATGCCTGGTGCCTACCCAGGGCCAAGCCCTCACAGATGATCCCCAGTCACTCTGTCACTGCAGACAGCCCCGGCTCTGAAGGCACGAAAGCCGTGTGTCAGAGCGTGGGTCTAAACCCAGCGTCTCTACCTGACGCTAACGCACAGGATCCTGCTGCTGCTTCCTTTAGCTTGGGCAGCCCACTAACCACCACCTCTGCGGCTGTCTCCGTCCATCCTCCATGAGGACAGACCGTCTGTGGGAGTCACACAGGGCACAGGTAAAGAACACCGGTTAATAAGGAAAACAGCAGCAGGTGGCTGAGTCTGTGCAGTCACCACCGTGACGTTCTAAATGTTTGAGCAAGGGGCCCTGTAGTAGCTGATCCTGGCAGGTGTACTGCCTTCTCCGGGTCACACAGCATGAACACGCCTTGGCAAGTGATGAAGGTGTGCCTGGCAAGAACAGGTCTGTGTCCATGGCTTTACAAGCATCCGTGAGGGGTCCTGCAGGGCTGGGGCTGGAAGAGCCATAAGAGGATGAGGAGAGGCACTATGGCCCCCATATCTGCCCCATTCTTCTCCTAGCCAGCCGCCCCTAAGGCCTCCATCCTTGACAGCCCAGGTTGGCCGGTGAAGGGCGGGGCCTGAAGCCAGGCCTGGATTGGCCCCTGCTGACTGCCCGGGCCAATTGGAGACTGGGGAGGAGGACCTGGTCCCACCCCGTCTCCAGGACGCCCAGGTACTCCGTGGTTACCAGCCAGCCTGGTTGTTAGGGCGACCGGGCTCTAAAAATAAACTTCAAAGAGTCTCCCTCCCGAGGCGCCCGCTGAGTTGTTATGACAACCGGGCCACGGGGTCCCCTCCGAGCCGCTCCCGCAGCCCAGCCGACTTCAACAAGAGGGTAACTCCACCTCAGCCTCATCCCTGCAGGAGGAAGTTTGAGCTTCCTCCCTCCGACTTCGTTCCACGTCAGCCTCTGCCTCTCTCCGTGTGGGGGGCCCCTTGTTCCTGCCCCCATGAATTCCTCAGAACCCCCAAACTAAAAGTAGCAATACCTTTTACAAAGGGTGTAAAAAAAAATACCGAAAAATAGGAGAAACATAAAACCACTTCAATCCCAGGGTTCTGGGAGCTCAGTCACCTTGGCTTCTGTGGGTATACGGGTGTGGTGTGTGCATGTGGATAGGCTTGGGTAACAGAATGCCTCATAATAATTGCTAACATTGCTCATTATTCAATGCAAACTACGGCACCGGGCCCTGTGCTGAACCACTGAGACACCACTTTGGTTCATCCTAATGACACCCCTGTGAGGGAGGGGTCCCATTCTCCAGGGTATTTTCTTGATCATCAGAGGAGGAATCTAAGCCTCAGAGAGGACAAGTCCCTGGCCCAGGGCTCCACAGCTATGAAGCGGCACAACCAGAATTCTGACTGATCCCTGAGCCCATCTGTCCGTAGTCCCTAAGACAAACTTTTCTCTCCACCAACGGTCATATCATGAGCACTCTATCCCGAGTCATGAGACATTCTCTGAGAGTGTCTTCTGTAAGGGCTGTGCCATTTTCCATCACCCGTGGATGTCCCATATCACACTTAATACATGTGCTACTGCTGGTCACTTCCTTCCTTGTTTTGAATCTCTCCCGAATCATCCCGTCTCTCTCTCGTCCTGGGGCTGCCTCTTGGCCAATACCTGCTCCAGCCATTTCAGAGCAAAGTCTCCTTGAAACTAGGGCCTTGCAACACGGGACCCTGCTGACCACCCTCTGCTCCTGGAGCTGCTCCTGCTGCCCGCCGGCCCACGCAACCCTCCAACACTCCCTTTCCCAGGAGCCCCTCCTTGGGCCTGAACAACACACGCATCCCCCGGGGTTTCATCCTTAGCTTCGTCCTCAGCACCCACGCCCCACGGACGGATGTCTTTTCCATGGTTCCCTGGCCCCTCTGCAGCCCAGACTTTTGTCCTGAACTCCAGCCCTAACTCTGCACTCCTTCAGGGCTTGGAAGGAGCAGAGGCGGGGGTCACGCCAGGGCTTACTTTGCTCTCCAGCCTCCCAATCAGCTCTGCCAAGCGGCTGATCTGCGCTTCCAGACCCTCTTCCTTTGAGTCCTCGGTGGCTGCGGAAGAGAAAGAGACACACAGACTTCAGTGGGGGGCAGGGCGAGGGCTTTGGGGGGAAGCTGAAACACCCAGCCCTTCCAGGGGCGTCAAACTGGCCCCTCATCTCCCCAGTCCCCGTCAGAGGACTCTCAGAACTCCTAGGGACCTCCAGCCGCTACCCCCACCAGGGCCCCTGCTTTCTCTCACCAGATGGAAGGCCCTTGCCTTGTTCCACGGCCATGAGCTTGTGGTTGGGGGCAGAGGCGCGAGTGGGGCTTCCATACCAGGTCTGTGCCACACCGTGGCTCGGTTTGCTGTGGTTCTGTCTGCAGTTTGAATGGAAAACACACAGACTATGACGGCAGCTTCAGGGCCCTGACCATTTCTAGCAGCTTCAACAGGCATTTATTAAGCACCGACAGTGGGCTCACACATGCACAGAATTTGCATCATGGCCTTTGTTTTGACAGAGGAGGAAATGAGGTTCGTAAAGCAGGTGACTCAGCCAGGGCCACGCAGCTAGCTGGGCGGAGCTGGGATTTGAATTCAGCTCCATTCTAGGACCCCACGGCCCAGGCCTTTTCCCCCAAGAGATTCAGTTCCAGGGTGAGACTGAGCCAGGCGCCCACCCCCACCCTAACAGCTCGAAGCTTTCGGGCACCTGTAGAGCCCAAGCTGTGGTGTGACCAAGTCCCCCTCCCTCATAAGCCAATTTAATGTCTGCTGCCCTCTGGGGTGGTGGACCTGGTTTCAAGACTCCCTCCAACACATACACATAAAAGCGAGACCTAAAGAGACAGTGGGGATGTAACACGACAAAAGCTGTCATCCTGACGTGGGCCTGGCCCCATCTCCTGGCCCTGGACACCCCTACTCCTGTGCACACTGATGTGCACACACCCCTGTGCCATGACAGGCACAGCTAGCCAGAGGCAGACAGACACACACGCACACTGCTCACCTTGCGTTGTGCCCAGCCCATAGTAGTGACTCAAAAAATGCTCAGTGAATGACCAAATCCTCCCGTGCAAAAGGATGCTGAAAAGCTCCCGGCAGACATACAGAAACACAGACACTCCCCCCAGAAGACACACACAGTGCCCTGTGCACGGCCCCCACACTCCCTTGGTGTCTGTGCACCACGGTCTTGGTGCATTCTGGAATTTGACTCTTGTGAACCTTGCGCACTCAGCCAGGCTCTCCCCCATGCCGAGGGAGCAAACTCAATTCCTGCCTTGGGAGGGGAGAGGCTGGCAGAGTCTTTGTGGTGTCAATCATGGCTTCTTTATAAACCAGCAGGAAATTAAATGTGTCCCTCAGACCATGACAGGTTGCTCAGGGCTCCTGGGCGGTGGGGTCTGAGCCAGTAGCCTGTGCTAGGGGCGACATCCTGGGAGACTGTCCAGGGGCTGGGAAACAGGACAGTCCTCAGGGACACACAGCCTAGAGCCAAACTAGCTGAGATTTGGGGAAGTTCAAGGGAGGCACGTGTGGAACGAGGCATCACGACAAGCTGCCCCTCCGACCACATCCCCAAGTAAGGTCCCACCGTGGGGGCAGGTGGACGGAACTGCTGACACGTGACGGAGCTGGCCTAGTGCGGAAAGTCAGCTCTGAAAACCGTGCAACAATACTATCTGTTCTGTGGCAGGATCAAAACAGCAAGTTTTCATCAAGATAGGAACAGGAAAACCAAGGAAATCTAAGTGTCAGCTTTCATAGTGATGGCTGCTAATTCGAGGGAACCCAAGAATCACAAGACTGACCACACATGCAGAATTCTGGCCTCCGGTCCCAGGGATTCTGGCCAGTGGGTATGGCCAGGAGCCTGGGAATCTGTGTGTTAATTTTCCCAGGTGATTCAACAGCAAATGCTCAGAGCAAATTCATCTGGAAACAGTATCTCAGAGTGACCTTCACAATCATATCTGATCAGGACCAGCTCTTCACCCACGAAGAAACACACAATCAAACTCCTGTCCCCAGCAAACCAACATCCTGGACCTCACGTGCCTCTGCCTGGGAAATTCAAGGCTCAATCGAGCTTGGGTGCCGACACCTGGCTATTGCCCTCATCTGTTTGCATTTTCTCTTTTTCTTCTCTGTGCCAAGCACATGAGCTGTTCTGGGAAGAACTGGGCAAAGAGGGGTTTGTCTCAACTCAGAACAGCAAATGGAGGTGGGGTGTGCTCGTGGTCCCCAGGGAGCTGGGACTGCTGAGCCAAGAGAATGCCACTTCTCTCTAAATACCAGGTCACAGCCCTAACACAGCATCTACCACCTGGGAGGGGACCCCAGATGCATTCCCATGGTTCCAAGCATACAAACAAGGCCTAACACAAGACCAAATATTGTGAGAAAACCACCTGCTTTCACGTCTCTTTCGGTCCTCCTGAGAAAGTCTCAACTTGCTACTACTGTCTTCAGCACCTCTCTCTCATTTCCCAGTCTCTGTTTTTAACAGAGGGGTGGCAAGCCTCAGGATTCAAGCTGGATGGTAAGCAATGATGGGTGCTTGTTTTTACAGTTACTTCACTTACAGCATGTGGTGCTGAGAGTGCAGTTATAACCATATGCCATTTCCTAAACTGATCTCTAATTTTCAAAAGTGGGCTGGGGTGCAGCAGCTCCTGCCTGTAATCCCAGCCCTTTGGGAGGCTGACACAGCAGGATTGCTGAGACCAAGAGTTTGAGAACAGCCTGGCCAACATGGCAAGACCCCATCTCTACAAAAAATAAAATAAAAAAATAGCTGGGTGTGGTGGGAATACGTGTCTGTAGCCCCAGCTCCTTGGGAGGCTGAGGTGGGAGAATTGCTTGAACCTGAGTTGGAGATTGCAGTGAGCCACAATGGTGTCATTGTACTCCAGCCTGGGGGACACAGCGAGATCCTGTGTCAAAAAATAAAATAAGGCTGGGCTCCATGGCTCAAGCCGGCAATCCCAGCACTTGCAGGCCGAGGTGGGTGGATCACCTGGGGTCAGGATTTCAAGACCAGCCTGACCAACATGGTGAAACCCCATCTCTACTAAAAATACAAAAATAAACTGGGCGTGTGACAGCGGGCACCTGTAATCCCAGCTACTAGGGAGGCTGAGGCAGGAGAATCGCTTGAACCTAGGAGGCAGAGGTTGCAGTGAGCTGAGATCACACCACTGCGCTCCAGCCTGGGTAACAGAGCAATACTCGGTCTCAAAAAAAAGAAAAGAAAAGAAAAGAAAGAGAAAGAGAAAAAGAAGACAGACAGAAAGAAAGAAAGAAAAGAAAAGAAAAAGAAAGAGAAAGAAAGAGAGAGAGAGACAGAGAAAATAGGCTGGGTGCAGTGGCTCACGCCTGTAATCCCAGCACTTTGGGAGGCTGAGGCAGGTGGATCACGTGAGGCCAGGAGTTCAAGAGCAGACTGGCCAACATGACAAAACCCCATCTCTACTAAAAATACAAAAATCAGCCAGGCATGGTGTTGCACACCTGCAGTCCCAGCTACTCAGGAGGCTGAGGCATGCGAATTGCTTGAACCTGGGGAGGGAGAGGTTGCAGTGAGCCAAGATCACGCCACTGCACTCCTGGGTGACAGAGCAAGACTCTGTCTAAAATTAAAAAAATTTAAAAATAAAATGTGGGCCAAACCACAGAACAGTTCTGCATAAACAGTAAGTAGTATGTGGATGTGGCAAAACAAATTAGAGTCTGGGAAACGGTGTCTTCACTATATTAATAAATACGTGCACCAGGCATTCTCCTGAGCATTTACTATCTCATTCAGTCCTTGCAATGGCTGAGGTTTCAGGCATATTATCGTGCCTATATTACACAGCGGAGCACTGAAGGCACAGAGAGCTGTGGCAACTTGCCCAAGGTCACCCAACTCTTAGGTACACAGACACCCCCACCAAGTAGCAGGTGGGCACATGCGTGAGCACGGCATACCCCCATGGGACCCTGCAGGGTCTCAGAGACTCACCGGAGCTGGCTGGTCTGTTCCTCGATGGCCTCCACTGCACTCTCCACGGAGCTCAGCAGTGACTGGATCTGATTGGCCGTCTCCTTCAGGAGGAAGCGGGTCACGAACTGGTCCACATTGCTCCCGCCCTCATAAACCTGTAGAGGGAAGGGAAGGGGCACTGAGGGGAAACGGGTGGGAGGGAAATTTGAGGTGGGGTCTAGCACAGGAGTCGGGGGGAAGCTAGTGCTGGTGAATTTGCTTTGCAAAGGGAAGGGAGGACCCCATGGCCTCCTGGGGTCCAGTCTTAGAGGCTGGAGTGTGTCCAATGCAGAGGCTAGAGGTTTAGAGACCAAATTTGAACCCTGGCTTCACCACTTACTAGCTCTGTGACCTCCCCGAGTATAATGGGGTCACTGAATTATCTATCTTACAAGGTTCTAGTAAAGATTAAATGGCGACATGTGTATAAAATGCTCTGCACAGGGCCTGCCACACAGCAAAGACTCAATCAACAGTAGGTGCTACAGTAAAGATGACGGTGATGGTGGCAGTGATAGCGACTGGTGGTTTTGTTGTTGCTGTGACAAGGATAATCATGAGGCAAGAAGAATCCACAACCTTCCCACCCTCCTTGCTCCTCCAAGGAGGATTCCTAGGGCTTCTGGATCTCCAGGCTGCTACTAAGGAAAACGACAAAACGGAATCAAAAGCCGCTCAAGGGAGGAAAGTGCCCAGGGCTTAGTAATCAAAAGGAGGCGGCGAGAGAGGACCCTGGGGGGAATCAGAGAGGGGGTCTTAGCAGATGCTGCGACCAGAACTCTGGGGAAAAGATGAAAAAGAGTTTTCTCCAAGTTTTGCTCTGTGGTGTGGAATAGAATTTCCACCTCTGTCCTGAGACTCTGCAAGGACATTTCTCAAGCTTTTGGATCCAGTGGAGATGCTTTGGGTTGCAAAGGCTTTACAGCAGAAGGGAGAAGGCTCTGCTTATCCATGTCGCTCAAGGACAAGATGATGAAGATGATGCTGTGGTGGGGGATCCTGGGTCTCCCAAACCCTGACCTGCTCTCCTGGCCTCCTCTGCCAAGACCCCGCCCTTCCCAAGCCACCTGCCCCAGGCGCCTTGGAATTCTGCCCAGTCCCTGGCAAGGCAAGGAAAAACACGGCTCTCAAGGAAAGCAAATTAAACCATCCATCACTCTGACTGGGAATTAATTAGCAATAATTGCACAATGGGAAACACGGCTGAGAGACAGACTGAGAAACAGAGGAGGAGGAGGAGGGGCACACAAGAAGACAGCTAAGGCACAGTGGAGGTGGACAAACCCCCCGAGCTGACGGCTGGACCAGGGCCTGCTGGGGACAGACCCTGAGAGAGTACATGGCCAAAAGTACGTCAGGTTCTTACAGCCTGGCAGGTTCCGGCAGCCTGATACATGGCAATGACCGAAACCACACATGATCCAGCAAGCAACAGACTCCAGACACGTGAATGGCCAAAAATGGACATAAAGGCATAGCTTGGTAAAATATTTAAACATAAAGAAAAAGGCTGCTAGAAGTGATCAAGCAGAAAAATGGGCTGAAGTGTGTGTTAAAAGCACCCAGACCAATGACTGAAGATGTGTCAGGGATCAGTGTTACCAGTTAGCTGAATTCCAAAGAAGACAAGTTATTTTCCAAGGAGTAAAAAAATGAAGCTTTTCCTGATTCCTCCTCCACCACAATTGAAAAGCAGCCTACGTTCCCCAACGTAAAGATACAATCCCAGATTTGACATGGGGGTACAGGTGCCTATTTGTTACATGAGTATATTACATCATGGTGAGGGGACTGAGCTGCCTCAGACAAGAGACCAGCTCCACAGGTTCCATAGGGAAAGTCTCAGATGGAGAAATTTTGCATCCAGTGGACAAGTTACTCATTGGTAGAACAACTGGGAGATCTCCAGAAACCTGCAAATTTCTGAAATTTTACTAGATGAGCACCTTTTCTGCAAACAATGCTTAAGAATTTGTCCTAAGTCATCTGGGCTTCAATGAAAGTTCTTTATGTGGGGAAGTTGTGAAAAGAAGTAACAGCGATCACTCAAATTAAACATTCAGGTTACACAAGTTAGGAAATAAAAACATTGACCACTAATGGTTTAATTTCAACTATATTGGATTTAGTCAATAAAGTATAGGGAAAAAAAGCCTAAAATCTTAAAAATTATTTTTATTCCCAAAGGGAAGAGAAAGTGTTTATTAGCTAAGTATAAAAATAGGATTAAGAATGTTAATAATGTATTTTTGTAAAGTGAAAACTAGGAATTCTACACTCCAAATCATAATCCATGATATAAACAGGGCAGAGCACCAAAAGGTAAAATGTAAAAGACATGAAGAAAGCATTAAAAAAGGGAAGAATAAAACACAACAGTCAGACCAAATAAAACAATCATAATGAAAAAGGCAGCCCGAATTCCCTTATATAAAGACACAGTCCTAGATCTGATTAAACAAGGTCCATCAGAAGCGCACCTAAACCAAAACAGCACAAAGGACTTATAAAGAAAAGCCTGTGTAAAGATTCAGTAACCACCTGTGACTGAATGAACAGGATAAGGTGCAATATCACTGTCAAGTTAGAATTTAAATGAGAAAGTATTGCCCAAGAAAGGTAGGAATATAATGATAAAAGGCATAAATTATAACAAGGACATGCCATTATTAAATCTTCATGTACTGACACAGGATATGGGGATATCCTGACACAGGATAGCTATGGGGACTTCAATGCTTACAGCCATCTAATCAAACCATTTTGCTATATGTCAAGTGCCATAAACTGCTCAGATTTTTTAACCCAGTAATTCCCCAACTCTGATAAATTATCCTCAAGAAATAGTGCAAAATATGGACAACTATGTTTCCCACAAGGTATTCATAACAGCAAAAACTTGGAAATAATCTAATATACCTAACAGAAGAAGAAAAATAAGTACATTAAAATATTTAAAATGATGCTTTTGAACAGTTTTAATAACATGGGGAAAATGTTAAAATATTAGGTAAAAGAGCAGGAAATATATTTTTGTACACAGATTATAAATTTAAGAAATACACATAAAAAATGCTAAAGGTAATAAACTAAAATGTTACCAGTGGTTAGGGATAGTGGGAATTAGAAGGAATTTGAATATTCTTTATACTTTACTCCCTAAATTTTGCATATCAACTACGTACCATTTATATGTAACAAAAATACTGTAACAAGTCTATATGCATCAAACAACATGGCTAAAAATATAGAAAGGAAAACCATTAGAAACACAAAGATTTAACGACAAAACACAATTTAGTATGAGAAATTAGCTAACCCCTGTCCCACAGGACAGAAACATTAGATGATAATAAATAAGGATGCAAAGGGCACTGTTAGAAAGAATAGTGAAAGTCTTTGAAATGGGCAAAAACAACTCTTGGGTTTCTTGTTTTTCTAAGTTCACTATTTTTTCTAGTTTATCTAAGTCTTTCCTTATTCAGGAGCTACTTTGTTTTGTTTTCCAAAACTGATTTATTTGAAAGATGGATTTGAGAACTTGTTAAAGGAGGGAAGCAGAGGACAGAAAGTTGGGTTTTATGTTTTATGAGTTTTATTTCAGATTCAGAGGGTACATGTGCCTGTTTGTTACACGGGTACGTCATGGTGGGGGTGGAGTTTCTAGTGTACCCATCACCCACAAATTGAACATTGTACCTACGAGGTAATGTTTCTTTTTTTTTTTTTTTTTTGTTTGAGACGGAGTCTTGCTCTGTCGCCCAGGCTGGAGTGCAGTGGCCGGATCTCAGCTCACTGCAAGCTCCGCCTCCTGGGTTTACGCCATTCTCCTGCCTCAGCCTCCCGAGTAGCTGGGACTACAGGCGCCCGCCACCTCGCCCGGCTAGTTTTTTTGTATTTTTAGTAGAGACAGGGTTTCACCGTGTTAGCCAGGATGGTCTCGATCTCCTGACCTCGTGATCCACCCGTCTCGGCCTCCCAAAGTGCTGGGATTACAGGCTTGAGCCACCGCGCCCGGCCGGAGATAATGTTTCAACCCTCACCCCACTCCTACCCTCCCTGGAGCAACTTTTACAACTCTGTGGACACAGACCATTTATAATAATTCAAAGAGTTCTCTTCCGGCTGGGCATGGTGGCTTATGCCTGTAATCCCAGCATTTTCAGAGGCCAAGGTGGGAGAGGATTGCCTGAGCCCAGGAGTTTGAGACTAGTCTAAGCAACATAGGGAAATCCTGTCGCTACCAAAAAAAAAAAAAAAAGAAAGAAAAAAATTAGCCGGGAGTGGTGACACCCACCTGTGGTCCCAGCTACCTGGAAGGCTGAGGTGGGAGGATCGCTTGGGTCTGGGAGGTTGAGGCTGCAGCAAGTAATGACTGTGCCACCGTACTCCAGCCTCGGCAACACAAGACCACATCTTAAAAAAAAAAAAAAAATTCTCTTCCACAGAAATGCCCAGGAATTTTGTCTGGCACTCTCCACAGGGCAATTGGTTGCTGCCCTGGGATAGTGACCAGTCATGCATTTATTCACCAATTGATTTCGGAACTGCTATTTACCTAATATATTAGTGCACAAGTTCTTTCAATTCTCTTTTGAGCCAGTTCCAACATCTTACTGATTCTCACATTGAGTTAAAGAAAATCCTTGGGCCAGGCGCAGTGGCTGGTGCCTGTAATCCCAGCACTTTGGGAGGCCGAGGCAGGTGGAACACCTGAGGTCAGGAGTTCGAGACCAGCCTGGCCAACAGGGTGAAAACCCGTCTCTACTAAAAACACAAAAATTAGCCGGGCGTGGTGGTGCATGCCTGTAATCCCAGCTACTCGGGAGGCCGAGGTACAAGAATCACTTGAACCCGGGAAGCAGAGGTTGCATTGAGCTGAGATCAAGCCATTGTACTCTGGCCTGGTCAACAAGAGAGAAACTCCGTATCAAAAAAAAAAAAAAAAAAAAAAAAAAAGAAGAAAAGAAAAAGAAAAAATATTTGATGTGCACATTTTAATACTTGCAGAAGAGACATAATTTTACCTTTAAAAAATTGTCTCTTAGCAGCACATATTTCATAACAAAGAAAGGATAGCTATTTTCAAATCTGATAATTCTGCAAGCACAATCCACACCATCTCAAGCATTCATGAGATAGTTATAAAAACAAACACAAATGTAATGGAAAAATCTCAGTACATTTAAAAAATAGAGTGGAAACCTCACTGGTCATTCAGTTTTGTCTTAACACAATGAACTGAAAAATAAATGAGAACATAACAGGCTGCTCAAAGAATAGAGAGGGTGAAAATACTACACATTAACATCTATGATTGCTATGGGAACATCAAAAGTAATTTTTTTTTTTTTTTTGAGACGGAGATTCACTCTTGTTGCCCAGGCTGCAGTGCAGTGGTACAGTCTCGGCTCACTGCAACCTCCACCTCCCGGGTTCAAGCGATTCTCCTGCCTCAGCCTCCCGAGTAGCTGGGATTACAGGCTCCTGCCACTATGCCCAGCTAATTTTTGTATTTTTAGTAGAGACGGGGTTTCACCATTTTGGCCAGGATGGTCTTGATCTCCTGACCTCGTGATCCACCTGCCTCGGCCTCCCAAACTGCTGGGATTACAGGTGTGAGCCACCGTGCCCGGCCATTATTTATTTATTTATTTGAGACAGAGATTTGTTCTTGTTGTCCAGGCTGGAGTACAATGGCGCAGACTCCACTCACTGCAACCTCCACCTTCCGGGTTCAAGTGATTCTCCTGCCTCAGGCTCCTACGTAGCTGGTATTACAGGTGCCTGACACCACGCCCAGCTAATTTTTGTATTTTTAGTAGAGACGGGGTTTCACCATGTTGGCCAGGCTGGTCTCGAACTCCTGACCTCAGGTGATCTGCCTGTCCCGGCCTCCCAAAGTGCTGGGATAACAGGTGTGAGCCACTGCACCCAGCCCCCATCAAAAGTAAATTTTTAAAATTTCAAACATTATCAAAAAAAGCAAGCATTCCATTTCACATACGAAAAAGAACAGCAAAAACAACAAACCTAAAGTTTTAAGAGGGAGGAAATAATAATGATAGGAACTATAAATAAATGAGAAAACATGTCATGAAATTTAAATAAATGTGCCAGGAGCTTGATATTTCAAACAGCTAATTAAAACAGGCAAAACTGTCAAATAGAAAGTTTTAAAATGTAGAAAAATAGGAGACATTTAGGATGTGAGCTATAGCAGCAAATTTTATTTTTTTATTTTTATTTTGAGAGAGAGGGTTTCTCTTGTCACCCAGGCTGGGGTACAGTGGCATGCTGTGCCTCACTGCAGCCTCGACCTCCCAGGCTCCAGAGATCCTCCTACCTCAGCCTCCCAAGTAGGTGGGAACTACAGGCGCATGCCACCATGCTCGGCTAATTTTGTTTTGTTTCGTTTTGTTTTTGGTAGAAACGAGGTCCCACTATGTTGCCCAGGGTGGTCTTGAACTTCCGGGCTAAAGTGATCCTCCCGCCTCAGCCTCCCAAAGTGCTGGAATAACAGGCGTGAGCCACCGTGAGGGGCAGCAGATCTTTTATTGAACTTAATCTGCATTAAGTGGCTGCTTGTGTCAAACAATGTTTTAGATTTTTAAAAATAATCGTAAAAACATTCCATGTAGGACTGATGGTAGAAACAACTATGCCCAGGGCAGTTTTGTTTAAAAATATACTGCAATGGAAAAGTGAAAAAGTTGACTAAAGTAAGGATGACATTAAAATAACTATGAAGATAATCCCCTCCCTTGTTTAACACCGAGACCCAAGAGTTATGGATAAATTCTATTTTTATGTAGAAAAATGATTCTATGTTAGAGAAGCTGATTCATACACAGAACACATTCAAAACCACCTCACAAAATGATTTCCAAGCTATCATCCAATCTCCATTCCCAATGGAGACAGAGATCAAATTCTTGGCTCATGACAAGGACTCAGTAATGTGATAAAAGAATAATGTACCAATTAGGGCTTATCACAGGGAGCTAAGGATTGTTCAATATGAAACAATCTAAAAATAGCATCCACCCCATCAATAGCTTAGGGGAAAAAATCATATGATCATTTAAAAATACCAAAAGGCATTTGAAAACATTCACTACCACCCTCCTAAGACAAAATGGAACAAAGGGAATGCAAAAATATTTCTCCAACATGCTGATGAGGATTCTAAAGTAAGACCCGGTATTAATATGATAATCAGCAGAGAAGTACTAGAGATGCACTCGAAAATCAGGAGCCAAACAAGCGTGCCTGGCCAGTCCCCACCACGATGTTTTAGAACATGGGGGGAAATGCCACAGGATAGACAGGGAAGCAAGAGGGGCACGTGTTACAATGCAGAGACAACGGCACTCTTAATAACTGAGGCTACGGCTTGACGAAAGCAAACAGCACATACAAGAAAAGCACTGAAAACAACAAACGACAAGCTGCATTTCTATAAACAAAAACCAGTGAGGAACTACGCAAGCACAAGAAATGCCAATCACATCACACCTGGAATCCCAGCAGGTGTGGGAGGCCAAGGCAGCAGATCCCCTGAGGTCAGGAGTTTGAGACCAGCCTGGCCAACATGGTGATGAAACCCCATCTCTACTAAAACTACAAAAATTACCCAGGAGTGGTGGCGGGCGCCTGTAGTCCCAGCTACTCAGAAGGCTAAGGCAGGAGAATCAAACCCAGGAGGCACAGGATGCAATGAGCTGACATTGCATCACTGCACTCCAGCCTGGGCAACAGAGTGAGACTCTGTCTCAAAAAAAAAAACAACAAAAAAACAAAAAGGGAAAAAAAGAAATGCCAATCATGGATGCAACAACCTATCATCACCACGACTGCCAAAAAAACCCAAAGACCACCCCTGACATCATACGCATATGATTTCCGAGAGCAAGATCTCTAAAACCGGTCTAACTTGTATCGGTAGACACTGATGGAGAACTCTGTTATGTTCCTGAAAAGTCTGACTAAAGACTAAGATGCAACCATGGATGTTATGAACGCCTCACAGCATGGCTAGGTCATGGGCCCTTCTAAGGTGAGAAAACCCAGGCTCAAGGAGGTGATTTCCATTTCCCAGGGTCACCCATGAGCATATGGTGACCTCACACCGCCTGTTTGGAGCAGAGCTGGGGTTGCCACCCTTGTCTGGGTGACTCAGAAGCCTGGGATCTTTCCATGCTACCTTCTAATCCACCGCCTACACATTGATACTCTGGGATATCAAACGATATTCTACAAAGATTAATAATTGGAGGGAGCAGGTCTTACATGGTATTAAAATATACTCTAAAATGGCAAGACTCAAAACAGCATGATACTGGGACAGAAATGGAAATGTGGAATCGTGGAGGTTCCGAATGAAGCCCAGCTATTTTTAGATATATGGCAAAACAGAGACTCTCTAATACATGGCAGGAAGTAACTGAGAAGCATGGGAAAATCACAAAGAATGGGTTTTTTTTTTTTTTTTTTTTTTTTTTTTTTGAGACAGAGTCTCGCTGTGTCTCCCAGGCTGGAGTGCAGTGGCGCAATCTCGGCTCACTGCAAGCTCTGCCTCCCGGGTTCACGCCATTCTCCCGCCTCAGCCTCTGAGTAGCTGGGACTACAGGCGCCCGCCACCATGCCCGGCTAATTTTTTGTATTTTTAGTAGAGACGGGGTTTCACCGTGTTAGCCAGGATGGTCTTGATCTCCTGACCTCGTGATCCGCCCGTCTCGGCCTCCCAAAGTGCTGGGATTACAGGCTTGAGCCACCGCGCCCGGCCAAGAATGGGTTTTAACGTCTGGCTGAGCATACAGTAGGAACCTATTGATACAAACCAGCAGGTGCCTTTGCTCTGTGTTCTGTCCTGTATGCTCAATAGCTCAGAAGCCTTACTTTGCTCAATCTCTGAAGGATTTCATAATTCATAAGATGGATGTCTCCATTTCACAGATGGAGAAACTGAGGCTCAGAAAGGGAAATGACCAGCTGAGATCCTTCAGCCAGGTCTGGCTGGTTTTATCAGCTAAGTTCCCCGGCCTCAACTGGCAGACAGGGCTGGGCTTTTCTGGGCTCCCAAAACTCAGGGTGATGGTGGCTGCTGCCTTGAGCACCTGTGTGTCCCTCATCCTTGCATGCTCCCAGTTCCCTCACCGTGGGCCTGGACTGGTGTGCCCAATGGCTGCCCTCTGCTCCTGGTTGACTGACTCTCTAGTTGCCTCCTGGGTGTGCCTGGAGTGTCATGCTGCACTCCCATGCCTCCTGTCAGGCCCCTGACTCAGTTTCCCCTCTCATCCCAGCCAGCAGCTATGGCTGTCTGGCTGTGACTCTGTTGAGTTCGCCTTTGTGAGCCTCTGTTTCCATAGCTGTGAGATGGGGAGATGATAGTAACCACTCATAGGGTTGCTGTGAGGATTAAACCAGGTACTGAGCATTGAGAACCTGATATGGGGCCGGATTCAGATGCATGAACTACCCCCACCCCACCCCCATCCCCAGTCTTATAAGCCCGACCTAGAGGGTATGACACCTGTCTGGGGACCCCTTAAGGGCATAGGGTGATTGCAGCCACCTTTTCTAAGACCCCAGCCCAGGATCAGGTCTGACTCTGGGAAAATGCCTCCTGCTCCCAACCAGAGCCATTCACCATGCCATTCCATTCTCTTCCCAGTTTATCTCAGCTGCTAGGAAGAGGCCCAGGCCAAGCCCACCCCTGAGATAGGCCTCCCTGGCACCTGTCTTCAAAAATCCAGGCATCCTTAGGCAAGGGTGGAACTGAAGCAGCACTGGAGCCCTGGACCCCCGGGGCCACCTACACCCACTGACCTTCTTGGTATAGCCCATGGCCTTCAGGACAGAGTGATTCAAGGTCTCCAGGGAGGCCAGGACATCCTCATAGTCACCCATGTGGTCCACAAAGTAATCTGGGGAAGGAAAGGCAAAGGTCAGGGATCACAGGTCCTGCCCCTCCCACTCAGCACTCCTGCCCCTCCCACCTGCGCTAACCCCAGCCTCCCCTGCCTCAGGACCTTCTCCTCCAGCCCCATCCCGGCACCCCCATCTTGGTCCCAGAATAGCCAGCACCTACCACACAGCTCCTTGGTGTCTACGTGGCTGCAGAGAGACAGACAGAGACAGACAGAGACAGACAGAGACAGAAAGGGGGTTAGCAGGCCTGACCCTGCACAGCCTGCGAACACACACATCCCGCCTGCTCTTTGCAGCCTGTGTGCTGGCCCCACAAGCCCCGCCTTACAGATGAGGGTGCAGCAGGTAGGTGACACCCCCACCCCTGAAGGCCCACGTCTGTCTGACCCCTGACACCACCCACTCTTCTGTTTTCTCTGAGTCTGCTGACCCCATCATGAATAAATGACACCAAGGGTAGGGCCAAGCCAGGGGCCGGGAACAGGGTAAAGGGACAGAGAGTGGGGACCCGTTACTGTGACGGGCTGTCAACAAAGCTCTCACCTGACCCACTGACCCACCCCCCGGCGACCCTGCCTGCTGGGTCCTGGAGTCCTTGGGGGTGTGGCAGAGCCCTTCTTGTTCTGGTCCCAGCCCCTGGGTCCCACATCCCCATTCCTGCAGCCTGGAGAAGGGTCCTGTCCTTTCCTGGGGGAGCGGGCTGAGCATGAGCCTATCCCATGGCAGTGAAGGAGGATACACCAGCCCCAAGATCAGGGCTGCAGTGCTGGAAACCATGGTGGTTCTGCAGCTTAGGAGCAGATTTGATAAGCTGGGGCCCTCTGGGACTGGCTAGAGATGGTCTAGATAAGGAGCAACTGCCAAGTCAATGTGCAAGGGACCCAGTACAGTGGTGGCCCTTTCTGGGACCAGGTCCCTCCTCGTGCTCAGTGGAGCCCAGGCTCAGCAAGGCGCATCTGGACAGAAGGCTTCTGTGGTCCAGTGAGTCTGCACTCGGAGGCTTTGCATGTTCTGTCAGGAGGTGCCTCCAACCTCCATCTCATACTCAGAGTTCTGGCAAGTCCTGCAGAAAGCGACCCTGTCATTCTGCTTTAATTCGTGTTTCACAAATCTTTTTGTTAATATACTGTTTTGGGCACAAAGTCTATTTAGCATCCCCAGGAGCTAATGTTTGTGGCTCACACCTTACGGAATGTTGAGGAGATTAATCCTGAAAGTCTTTCAGAGCTTTGACCTTCCATAACCACGAGTCCTCCCTGCACCCCCACCCACCCACACACTCTCACGATTCGACTCTCAAACCAGTGCCTCCTCCTCCCTCCACCTCCGCCCCCTCCTGTACCCTGCTGGCCCTAACACAAAAGGCCCTGAAAGAGAAGGTCTAAATCAATTGGGCACCTGCCTGGCCCCTTCAAAGCACCCCAGGAAGCTGCAGTAACAGCTCAGAAATCTCCATCTGGCTCCAGAGAGTTCTCCATTCTGCAGTCTGCAGCCTGAAGCCATTTCTTTAAAGTGGCCTTTCCCAGAGGATGGTGTATGCTCCACTTACCACATCCTGGTGCCCAGCCAGTGCCCCCCAGGACACTCTCAGCCCCAGCCTCTGGTCCAAGCCACCATTGTACTCTGCCCCTTGCACACTGGTTTTGTGGTAGCTCCTTGTCCAGACCATCTCTAGCCAGTCTCAGAGAACCTCAACTTACCAAATGTGCCCTAAGCAGCCCTCCAGACACTTGGGTCCTCATCACGCAAGTAGGCCTGAGAAAGGAGACCAGGTGGGGCTCTGATCCCTCCTGAAGGTGGGGTTGAGGAGAGGGCTCAGACCTCATCCTGTCTGTGGAATCCCAAGAAAAGGGCAAGATTGGAGGTGAGGTTGGGAAGGATCAAGGGTAAGTCTGAGTAGAATCTGCATTTCCCACTCGATTTAGAGATGGGGTGGAGCCAGATTTTTTGACTGATTCTGAGATGCAGGTTAGGGTTACGACTGAGTTGGAGAACAGGTTTAATACGGTATAATGGTAGATGTAGTGTTGAGTCAGGATTCGTGTTTGGTTTAACACAGGAGTCAGTGTTAGGGCGAGGTTCAACTTCACAGTTAATGCTGGAACTAGGAGGATGCACAGGCATTGGGGCTAAGGTCAGAACCGGCTGCTGGCTGAAGATGGCAGAAAGATGAAGTCATTGCCAACTTCCCATTTTCATAATCCCATGTCCACTGTGCAAAACCGGGAGTCTCTCCTTAGTTGGCCATGTGCACTCAAAAGAGACACACTTGCAATAGTAGCCAATGCAATATGAATCTGCACATGCCCCAATCACCCCAGCCGGTGAAGAGCTGACTCCTGGATTAGCAAATTTGGGGATTTTCAGTTCTCCTGCCTCTTACAGGGGACTAGGAATGGAGACTAGATGAAAAGACGCCTCCACCATGGCCCACACATGCCCCCGCTCTGCCAACCAGGACTGAGGCTCACTTGGTGTTGTCAGAATCAATAGTGTGAAAGAGATCCTCGAGTTCTTTCTCACTGAGGACACCATCTGCAAAGAAGAGCTGGAATTCTTCCAAGGACAGCTTCCCATCATCTGCAAGGAAGCAGGGAAAAGAGCTGGTGTCTGCAGAGATAAGGCTGGTGGGGCCAGTGCATGCATGGCCCCCAAATCCAGGCAATACCCTGACTGACAGAGGAATATGGCCCTGACTGCTCAGATAATCCCTGCCCTTCCAGCTAACTCCCAAACTAAAAGACAAATTCCATTTTAGATAATCCCTACCCACCCAGCTAATTCCCACACTAACCAGTAAACTCCAGTACACAGAGAATCACTGCCTCATCCAGCGAATTCCCAGACCAATGCCTGTTTACACATAATCCTCAAACCAACAATAATGCAATAGCTAGCTTTCTTGGGCTCACCATGCACTCAACAGTTTCTATGCATTCAACAAATACAGAGTACCTGCCCCTGCCAGGGAATTTTCTCTCATTAATTTACATGGCCACCTGGAGGCAGGTGCTATATAAGATAACCCAATGTGAGCAACTTGCCCCATGTCACACCATTGGTATGAAGTGGATCCAAAGCCCAGCAGCTGGATGAGCCACCACTCCGTAGCTTCCAAACACCAAGTGGTCTCCCCACATCCCCATCCCCAACCCAGCCCCTAAGCCCTGACTCTCTCATCACTGTTCTTAGAGTACAGAACAACCCTTTCTTCTCTGCCCCATCTATGTGGCAAACTTCAGGTCCTTCTCTGAGGCAGCATGAGATGCCTGCCAATGGCTGGCATGAGGTTCTCACTGTTACCTCCTCTCCCAGGCCACAGATGCAACCATCTAGATGTCAAGCCATGCGGGAAGGAGGTGCCAGGCCTGGAGGTGCCAATGCTCTGGCCAGAGGCTGTGCTTCTGAAGTGGAGTTCCACAGAGGGGTGTCCACAGCTGATGCATGCCACCTGTCCTGCCCATCGCATCACCTTCTCCCCTTACTCGCAGTTGCTCTGGGGACACTTTTGGCCCCACCAGGAAGGTCTTGTGGGTTTGGATCAGATTGGGCCACCAGGGGAGGTGGCTTGAGCAGAACATCAGGGACTCTGGAAGGCGGTCCCCAAGCTTCCACCCTCAGCTCCTTCCACCTGGACAGACCTGCTGAGCAAATGCCAGCAAGCTCATCCCCCACCTGCCCTGCAGCCACCCCCTCCTCAAGGATCTGTTCCTCCTTAACAGAAACTATGTGAGGGGCATGGAGGTCAGGGAGAATAGGGAGCCCACGACGGTTCCCGGCCCCCAGCCTCTCTACATACACCCCTCGCATTACTTCCAGAAGATCTGCATTCAAAGCTAGGTGCTTAGGACAAGGGCCCTGCGAGTCCACATGGCACCTTCCTGTGGATTAGAAAAAGACACTCCTTTCTCTGCTGAGAGGATGAGACCAGTGTCGGCGCACGTGTTGAAAGTGGATTGTAGCCTGGATTTGAAACCCTCCACTTCCTCAGGTGCGTGCCCTTGTGCAGCGCACAACCTGCCTAATCTGACGTGGCAGACCTACTTGGGTTCAGAATGAGTCATTCTTAAACTTTAAAGGCTCTAGTGCTTCTGTCTGTGCTCCCAGCAGCTCTGCTGGAGCTCAACACAGGGTGAGGGCATAAGCTCAGGAGGGGGGGGCCTTCAGATCTTACCATGGTTTCATGCCACCACTTTTCTCTTTAACCCCATAGGGCATAAAGTATCAGAGGCTGGTAAAGAACATGAACATGTGTGCGTGGGGGGCTAGGGCCAATATCCCAAGATGCCCCCAACATCGCAGCACAGATTTCAAAATTACAGTGGGAAGAATTTGACTTTCAAAGGAAACGCCAACAAAACCCCAATGCAATCACACATGCACAAACCAAAGACCCAAAACCTAACAACAAAAAGTCCACAGTCAGCCATGAGATAAGTGAAACCGAAGTTGTGGCTTTCTGTGTTCTGTGACAGAGAACGCCTTCCAAGTGTCTTCGGCAAGACTGAAGCTAAAACCCAGGAATCACAGCATGGAGTCAAGCCACACGTGGAGTTCTTTCCACATGCTCACTCTTTTAGTCTTCATAACAAGACACAGGTAGTACTATCACTTCCGTTTTAGAGAGAGGTAAATGGAGGCACGGAGCCATTAGGGTACTTGCCTAGGTCCTACAGCTGAAGCTTGAACCCAGGCCATCTGGCTCCCAAGTCCAGGCTCTCAACCTAATCCAGGGGTAGGATCTTGTGGCGAGATCGCCACCTACCCAGCAGGGGGTGGGTGCTGGCTCAGGCACCCCCACTTTGGGTGAGGGGTAGTCACCATGGGCATAACAGGAAGGTCATAGTGAGCCCCAACCCCAGTCTCCCTCTGGCTGCCTCATCTCCCCATGTGCCTGTCGAGGTACCTTGGTCCCCCTCTGCACAGGGAGAGCAGGCAGGCAGAGGCCAGCAAGGTGCCCCATCACAAAGCTTTCCGCCTTCCCTGAACGCCTGACCACCGGCCTAATGAATCCGCTAATGAGGAAAAAACATGGCCTACGCAGGCCCCCAGTCCAATTAGACAGGCCAAGCGCGTCAGCGCCGACACTTCTGCCAGAGACCCCAAGCGGGCCTTTTGCAGGTGTCTCTGCTAATTAGCACGAACTCAGCATCTCCATGACCTTTCAAATGCCAAGAGCCTGTCAGTGGCCATGTCCCTGGAGGGAATGCTGCCTGGCACTCAGCCCTCTGCCGCCCTCTGGGTTTATGTCCCAGGATGCCAGTCAAGCCCCTCATGCTAACCTTCCCATAGGGACTAGGCATCTGGTGTCCGTCTCAGCCAAACAAGTCTCTGTCACAGGAGCCACCTTGATAGGCCAGCCCTGAGCCTTTGCTCCTGTAATCTCTAAGGCCTAAGAGCAGCCTAGGGGCTCCTTTGAGTTTGCACCCCCATCCCCCACTCCTCTGAGGCATCCCTTCCATCCTTCTTGTGGACACCTGAGGCAGGGCTAGCATCAGTGTTGAGTAGTCTGGTGTGTGCTTGTGTGCCTATCTGCCTCCACACCTGCACCCCCTGCACACCTGTTCCCATCCCTGCACCCACACCTCCCTGCACACCTGTTCCCATCCCTGCACCCACACCCCGCACGCCTGTTCCCATCCCTGCACCCACACCTCCCGCACGCCTGTTCTCATCCCTGCACCCACTCCCCGCACGCCTGTTCCCATCCCTGCACCCACACCTCCCTGCACGCCTGTTCCCATCCCTGCACCCACACCTCCCTGCACACCTATTCCCATCCCTGCACCCACACCCCCCTACACACCTGTTCCCATCCCTTCACCTACAGCCCCCTGCACACCTGTTCCCCATCCCTGTATCCACCACCTCCCTGCACACCTGTTCCCATCCCTTCACCCACAGCCCCCTGCACACCTGTTCCCATCCCTGCACCCACACCTCCCTGCACACCTGTTCCCATCCCTGCACCCACACCCCCCTGCACACCTGTTCCCATCCCTGCACCCACACGTCCCGCACACCTGTTCCCATCCCTGCACCCACACCTCCCGCACGCCTGTTCCCATCCCTGCACCCACACCTCCCGCACGCCTGTTCCCATCCCTGCACCCACACCTCCCTGCACGCCTGTTCCCATCCCTGCACCCACACCTCCCGCACGCCTGTTCCCATCCCTGCACCCACACCTCCCGCACACCTGTTCCCATCCCTGCACGCATGCGCCCTGCACACCTGTCCTCACTCCTGCACCCACACCCCCCTGCACACCTGTCCTCACTCCTGCACCCACACCTCCCTGCACACCTGTTCCCATCCCTGCACCCACACCTCCCTGCACACCTGTTCCCATCCCTTCACCCACAGCCCCCTGCACACCTGTTCCCATCCCTGTATCCACACCTCCCTGCACACCTGCTCCCATCCCTGCATCCACACCCCCCTGCATGCCTGTTCTCATCCCTGCACCCACACCTCCCTGCACACTTGCTCTCATCCCTGGACCCAAACTTCCCTGCATGCCTGGTCTCATCCCTGCACTCACACCTCCTTGACACCTATTCACACCCCTACATTCATTCTTCTTTCCCCAGCCATCCTATTCCCACACACCACTCCCCTATCTATACCCACACCAAGTCCCATCCCCACTCCTACATGCTTTAAGCTGCTGCGTTGAATCAGAACCTGCCTGCACCGCTGCCCCCCGACCATGTGAAGACTATCACGTGCTGTCTCCGAGCCTTGTTTTTGTCATCTTGAAGGAGGGTGGGGGTAGATACTTCTTGTCTCAGTAGGATCACCATGAAGATTAAAGGAAAAAGCGCATTCAAGTCCTGGTGCATAATAGATGTTCGGTGACTGCTGGTAGCCTCCACCAGACCAAACTCCCTGCTGAGCACAGAGGAATCAAACCCCTCCGGACAAGCCACTCCCGTGGACTCCCATTTCCAAGGCATTTGAGGCAGAGCAGCTGGGAGTTACTGAGCTCTTCAGTCAGCCAAGACAGGAGAGCAGCTCTACCCTCAGACAGCCCTCCGAGGTGGGTGCTGTCATCATCGTTCCCATTTACAGATGAGGAAACTGAGGCTGGGGAGTTTGGTGACTTGCCGCGGCTGAGCCAGGACTTGAGCCTAGGCAGTCAGGCTCCGGGACCTGGGAAGCTCTTGCTGGAACCCGCATCTGACACCCACATTCACCCTGGTGACAGCCCCCAATGGTCACATGGTGGCTGGGAAGATGTAAGCCCCAAGAAGGAACAGGCTTGGCCTTTGGGGGCCTGCAGTAATGAAACTCAGGGTCCCACAGCTGTGCTCAGGGGGACACATGACCTCTGACGGGGGGAGCCTGCAGCAAGGACAGAACCCCATCTGTGCTCGAGGGAGCCAGGCACCACCCGCCCATGTGTATACACTGCAATGGCTCCTGCAGATCCGCAGACAGGAAGACACACACACGCAAACTGCACACTCGGGATGTACAGCCATAGTAGAGGCCCACACCTGCTCTGCACACAAACTACACACACACGCAAAAACTGCACACACACTAGGGATATACAGCCGTGGCTAGAGGCCCACACATGCTCTGCACACAAACTACACACACACACACACACACACAAGGGATATACAGCCGTGGCTAGAGGCCCACACCTGCTCTACACACAAACTACACACACACACACACACGGGATATACAGCCGTGGCTAGAGGCCCACACCTGCTCTACACACAAACTACACACACACACACACACACACACTGGGGATGTACAGCTGTGGCTAGAGGCCCACACTGCTCTGCACACAAACTACACACACACACACACACACACACACACACACACACACACTGGGGATGTACAGCTGTGGCTAGAGGCCCACACCTGCTCTGCACACAAACTACACACACACACACACACACACACACACTGGGGATGTACAGCTGTGGCTAGAGGCCCACACTGCTCTGCACACAAACTACACACACACACACACACACACACACACACACAGGGGATGTACAGCTGTGGCTAGAGGCCCACACATGCTCTGCACACAAACTGCACACACACACAAACTGCACACACACTCAGGATATACAGCCGTCGCTAGAGGCCCACACTGGACACACGCATTGACAACAGCTGCACGCTGCTGAGTCACCGAGATACGCACAGCTACGCTCTCACCAACAAACACGTCCACCAAGTCTACAGACATTTACTGAGGACCTACTGTGTGCTGGGTATTGGGCCCAGGACAAGGTACAAACCCAAATTCCTGCCTCTCAACCTGCTGGAGGAGCCAGACCAGCACACAGGCAATGACGCTGAGGGTTCCAGTGACCCCATCTCAGGGACAGCCTCCCGTTTCCCCTGGCTCATCTCCAAGGCTTTTCAGGCCATGGTGCTACGGCTGTTTTTCCAGAGCCACTTCATCTCCCTACGTCCCTCTTATTTCCTCCTCTCCTCCATGGGGAATCACTGCTGATGGTCCTTCTTCCCCAGAAGCCTGGGAGTGGTCACCATCACCCCCAGGGATGCAGGAGGCCAGGATGGGAGACTTATCGGAACTGATTCCAGCCCAGGCCTGTGCACTGCCCTTCCACCCCCACCCAAGGCCTCCAACTCAACCCTGCAACCGCCCTGGGTGGGAGCCGTCAACAGGAACTCCCAGGGATGAGGCGGGTGCTGGAGACCCAGGCCAGAGCTGCCATCCTCAACTCCAGCTTGTGCAGGAGAGGAACCGGAGCCAGAGGTGTTGAGGACCAAGGGCCCCGGGGCAGGTCACAGGGTCTCTGTTGCCTGCTCTTCCCCTGGCACAGGCTTGGTACTTGATGTGGATTTTCTCAATGAATGAACACACCAGGAGCACTCAATTCTCTTTAAACACATTTGTCACCTACACCCCCTTTCTGGCTTTTCCCCAAAACCCAGGGAAAGAGGCAGGGCAAGTGTTACTGCCCCACTTTACCCGCGGGAAAACCAAGGCCCACAGAGGGAATGTGTCTTGGTGAAAGTCCACGGTGAGTTGCGTTGCACCTGTATGGTATTTTTAAGAAGGTGTGGTGCTTTGTGTTAGCTGAGGCTCAGCTGGGCCTTCCTAACCGTGCTTATTCTCAAGGCCTGGGCTCCTTCTCCAAGTGGAGCCCTTCCAAGGAGTCGGGAGAAGTGGAGTGCTATGAATTCCGTGGCCACAAGGTGCTGCTCACCGTTTCGAAGAGGCTGATAAGGGGAAAAGGGCCCGGGTCTGCAGGAGAGCCTCCACTTCTTTCATGCAGCTGGGCAACCCTGGGGCAAATTGCTTAACCTCTCTGGGTCGCTATGGTGTCAACAGAGGCAAGAGCACTGACTGCTCAGGTTGCTACAAAGAAGTGCACCAAGGTTTGTAAAGGGCCTAGCGTGAAGCTGGGGGCTTCCTTTAAAGGAGGGTTTCTGAGCCCTGGCCTGGGCTCCTCTGGTCCAACCCAGCTAGGAAAAGGCCTAAAGTACACCCAGCACTTACCACAGCCAGCCATTGTTCTTGGCATCACAGACATGACTCATTGAGCCCTCGAGTGGAGGTGTCCCTGCTAAGTAGGCCCTACTAGGATTCCCATTTTACAGATGGGGAGACTGAGGCACAGAGCAGCAGCAGGATTTGGCCTTCTAACTTCAGACCCCTGCGCTCCAAGCCTTTAGGCTCAAGGTTGCACATGTCTCCTATCCCTGATCCTTTCCCCATGAAGCACAAGGACAGAAGGAGCGGGCGGCAGACTGCCTGGGAGGGAAACTCACCATTTTTGTCCGCACGGCGGAAAATCTGCAGAAAAGAGAGGCCGAGTCAGCCCTGGGCCAGGGAGAGGCAAGCCCTTCCGGCGGCCTCTGACCGGATACTGGGATCCTTCTCTTCTCCTAGGAGCAGCTTAGGGTCTTGGGAAGCTGAGCCCCTCTTCCCTCTCCCCATCCCTGGGCTGGGATCCAGGGCCAACGGGAGAGGGATGTTGCAGGCAGAGGCCTTCGCCTTGCCCACGCGGAAGCGGCTGCCAGTACCACCAGCCTGCCCCCAGCCATGCTGACAGACACACGCAGGCCTACGGCCATCCCTGCAGGTGTACATCCACAGTCATCAGTCCACACGGCTTCAACCACCGCCAAACGCTCAGCTGCATACAACCACACTCCCAATCAGTGTCCCAGGGAGCGCCACAACCTTTACCACTGCAGTCCTTCCAGAACCCCTGGTGTGTTTCCAGGGAGGTTGGGATAAGTCCGACGGAGGTGTTTGCAAGGCCTGGTGACAATGCCAGCCACAGGCAGGACTGTGTTAATTTTGGGGTGCAGGAGGAGAAACAGGACGCCAAGAGCTCGGAAAAGCAGCCACAGACGAGGTTCTGGCTGCATTAGGCAGGGATGGGTGAAGGGCAGCTCCAAGGCTGGCCTGAACCTACAGACCAGGTGCCTCCTCTTCCTGCCTTTCCAGTGACATCCAAATCCCTGGGCTAGAGCTGCTCCCCTTCCCTCAAGGTCTGGCTGGCAGTGCCGCTTGCCAGGCTGAGGCTCGAAGGCAGCTTTCCGCCCATTCCAACACCATCACCTGGAGAGCTTTCAAAACCTCCTCAGCCCAGGCCACACCCCAGGGTGACTGAATCAGCTGTTGTGAGGCCCGCTCTGATTTCAGCATATTTAAAGCTTCCCAGGCACAATGTTGACACCTGTGTGCTAAGACCTTGCTATTCACAGGAGCTCTTCGGGGGTCCTGCAGGCGCTTGTTTGCAATGCAGGACGTCCCACCTACTCTGCACTGTAGTGGAGTCAGACCTTTCACCGTAACCAGATCCTAAGGGGACTGATTCACTAGCACTTTTTATTTGTTATTTTTGGAGATGGGGTCTCGCTCTGCTGCCCAGGCTGGAGTGCAGTGATGCGATCTTGGCTCACTGCAACCTCTGCCTCCCAGGTTCAAGCAATTCTCCTGTCTCAGCCTCTCGAGTAGCTGGTACTACAGGCACCTGCCACAATGCCTGGCTAATTTTTGTATTTTTTAGTGGAGACGGGGTTTCACTTTGTTGGTCAGGCTGTCTCGAACCCCTCACCTCAGGTGACTCACCCGCCTCGGCCTCCCAAAGTGCTGGGATTACAGGCACGAGCCACGGTGCCTGGCCCACCAGCACTTTAAAGCCTGAGAAGGATCCCAGGGTCTGCGGTGGCCCCCACCCCAATCTCACTGGCTTGTTGTAGCAAGGAGGGTGCGGAGACCCAGGGAGGGGCAGCAACATGTGCACATTTCCCTACACCAGGGAGGGCTGCTGAGGCCAGGTCAGCCATGGAGGAGGAGGTAATACTCACTCTGACCCTTCCACCCTCTGTCCTCGCCTTAGGGTAAAGGACAGATGCCCTCCACCCCCATCCCTCCAAGCAACGAGACAGGGGCACCCTCGGTCATTTCCAGGCACCTGGGCGGTGAGACTGAAGCACGGGAGGGCCTCTCAAACATCACCCCTCCTCCTGGCTGAACCTCAGACCCCCAGGCCCTCCTCAAAGATCCAGCCTGGGCACCCTGCAGCCCTGTTCCTGACTGGGCAAGGTTCCTCAAAGCTGGGGCCCTATCTGGGTGTCCCAGATCCCCCTTGAGGCCAGGCACCAGGCAGGTGCCGATTCTGGGCAGGAATGCTGAACACATGAGTGACATGGCAGGGCTGACACCTGGTAATGTCAGCCAGCTCCAGGAGTCTGCAGGAGCACCCCTCGCCCCGCCCCTCCTCTTCACTCCATTTGGCTGGTGAGGAGATGGAGGCTCAGAGCCCCCACCCTCACTGGGCAGGGCTTCCGTGCAGGGCAGCCTGGGCCTGCAGGGCTCTGCCTAGGACTTTCAGTGGGAGCTCTGTGGGGGTCCTCCTGAGACGGGGTGGGGGGTGTGTGTGTGGCTGCACAGGTGTTTCTCTGGCTGTGTGCGAGTGTGTGTGTGTGCCTGTGAGTGTGGCACTCTAGAGCTTCCCCTGCTGTGTCCAGCACCCCCCCGCCCCGAGTCCAGACCCTGCCAAGGGTTCCAGGAGCAGGAAAGAGGAGAGAGGAAGGGAAGGAGCCCCCCCGACTCACAGGGATCTGCTGTACACGCGTGTACACACATTCACACACACCCACCACTCTCCCAGAAATCCACCACACAGGCAGAGGCAGCCCCCAGCGCCATCCCAGAAGGACCCTCGCTGAAACACGCAGTCCACACCCCCAGAAGCCCCCTCCACCTCCTCCTAGTGCTCTCTGCCGGGAGAAGTCCTCCTCCTCCAAGCCGCTCCCTCCCGGGTGGGGTGGGCTTCCCAGAGGTGGGTGGTTTGCGTCCCAGGGGAGTTAGGAGGGGTGGTGAGGGGTGAGTCTGGTCCATGAAGAGGACCCGGCTCTCGCTAGGGTAGAGGGGTGTGGGGAAGGGAACAGAAGACAGGAGAGGGCTTGGAATGGAAGGGGGCGGGGTGGGGAAGACCAGAGAGGTACTGGCTCAGGGCTGATGGGCGATGGCTCTGGCTCTACGGAAAGGAGACGAGAAGACAGAAGGTGGGGAGGGAGCTTCACTTTTAAAGTGGCAGTAGCTGGGGCGAAGGGTCTTTGGGCGTGAGATGAGCAGGGGCTCAGGGTCTAGAGCGAAGAGAGGTGGGCTAGAGGTAGGGGTTGTTGGGGGCCTCTGAAAAGTATCGCTCCGGACAGGAGCCGGGATGGAGAGGAGGAGGGGGCTGGAGGCGGCGAGGGAGGAGGAGGGGGCTGGAGGCGGCGAGGGACTCCGGTCCCGCGGGGTAAAGGGTGGGGGGTTGGCTTGGACAAAACTAGGGGGACAGTGGCCGGGTCCGGGGGCTCACGGGTCCTCACTGTGGGCAGGCAGGGACTCGGAGAAGTGCGGGTGGAGGGGCGGAGGGGCGGAGGGGCGGAGGGGGTCTCCCGGCCCAGGGAGACAACTGGGTTGGAGAACGGCCTGGACGTGGCGGGGCTGGGGGCTCCCGCTCTGGCACGCAAAGGGGCTGGGGGTCTCCTGCCCGGGTAGGGGGGGCCTCGCGAGTCGCGGCGTCGGGGTCCGCCCGAGGGGCGGATGGGGCTCCGGGTCCCGGCCGGCGCGTACTCACGTCCAGGATGACGGCGGTGCCCCCGCGCGGCGAGGCTGGGCCGGGGTCCGCGGGGACGGCGGGGGCCAGCGGCTCCCGGGGCTCGCCCATCCTGGCGCCCACCCAGCGCAGCAGCCCGCCCAGCGCCCGGCCCTGCTGCGGTGGCTCCCGGAGCAGCCTGTGCGCGCCGGCCCTGCACAGGCGCGCCGCCCGCTCGCACATCGCGCCGCGCCCGCCGCCGCCGCCGCCCGGAAGCCCGCCGACCCCCGCCCGGCCGCGGCCCGCCCCCGCGCGACCCCCTCCCCGCGCCGGCCGCGCTGCCCCGCCCTCTCTCCCGCTGCCCCCGCGGCCGCGGACACCGCGGGGACTGGCCAGCGCCGGGGGGCGGGCCGGCCGGACCCCGAGACACGTGCCCGCTCCCCGCCGCCCCCACCCCCGGCGGCCGGGCGCGGGGCCTGAGGACTGCCCGCCGGGGCTAGGGGCGCGGGCGCAGCCACAGATGGGGCTACCCAGAGGCGCGGGGTAGGTGGGGCCTGGGGGCGGGGCGGCGCCCCTGGGGTCTGCTCCCCAAAAGTCTCCTGTTGTCCCCGCTTCTAAAGTCCCCCCTCCCACTCGCGGCGCGCTGCAGGGGCCGGAGCGCGGATGTCCAGCCAGCCCGGAGCGCCCTCTGCCGGCTCCAGCCCCAGGGAGCGGCGCCCACGCACCGCGGGCCCTGTCACACCCGAGAGCGACCACCCTTACCTCCCGCGGGCGTGGACGACCCTTCAGGCCGCCCCTTTCGTTACACAACGCCCAGAACCAGTCTTCACCCCAGAACATCTTTCTTTTACACTCCATCCACCCATCCATCTATCCACCCACCCACCCGTCCGTCCATCCATCCATCCATCCGCCCGCCTACCTATCCATCAATCCATCTATCCATCCATCCACCCACCCACCGGCCCATCCATTCATCCATCCATCCACCCACCCACCATCCTCCCATCCATCCATCCATCCATCCACCCACCCACCCATCCATCCATCTGCCCTCCTACCTGTCCATCAATCCATCTATCCATCCATCCACCCACCCACCGGCCCATCCATTCATCCATCCATCCACCCACCCACCATCCTCCCATCCATCCATCCATCCATCCATCCATCCATCCATCCATCCATCCATCCATCTGCCCGCCTGCCCATCTGTCTGTCCATCCACCCACCCACCCACCCTCCCATCCATTCATCCATCCATCCACCCACCATCCTCCCATCCATCCATCCATCCATCCATCCTCCCTCCCATCCATCCACCCACCCACCCTCCCTCCCGTCCACCTACCCATCATCCTCCCATCCATCCAACCATCCTCCCATCTATCCATCCATCCACCCATTCATTTAAAAGATGAATTAAGGAGAACCCACTAGGTGCCAGGCAGGTGCCCAAGTGCTGAGTTCCAGCAATGGGCAAAACAGATGGTGTACTTGGCCTCCTGGAGCTCCTGGAGCTTACATCCAAGTGGGCAGAGCCAAACACTGAAATGATTCCACAAATAAATGAACAATTAAAACTGAACTGCTGGCAGGGTGTGGTGGCTCATGCCTGTAATACCAGCGCTTTGGAGAGCCAAAGAGGGCGGATCACTTGAGGTCAGGAGTTCAAGACCAGCCTGGCCAACATGGTGAAACCCCTGTCTATTAAAAATAAAATAACTAGCTGGGTGAGGTGACAGGCACCTGTAATCCCAGTTACTTGGGAGGCTGAGGCAGGAGAATCGTTTGAACTCAGAAGCAGAGGTTGTAGTGAACCAAGCACCACTGCACTCCAGCCTGGACAACAAAATGAGACTCTGTCTCAAAAAAATAGAAAAATAAAAACTGAACTGCTATGAAAAGGTAGCACCTTGGACCATGAGAGGAGTCTTTGCTGCGATGACAGTGGAGGGATTTGTGTCAGAAGAGGCTTCCTAGAGGAAGTGATTCTTACCCTGAGAGACCCCAAGGAAGAGGAATTAAAGAAAGGCGGGAAACTGTCCTGGGCTGGGGACCCTCTGTGCAAAGGCCCTGCGGCAGGCAGGGACCTGGCCAGCAGGAGGGACTGAAAGGAAGCCACGTGGCAGAACAGAGAGGAGAGGGGACAGACTGCGGGGGGGGGGGCAGAACTGCAGTGCCCTCCGGGACACCACTCCCTGCACACACCCACCACTGCCATCCCCAGGCTGTAGTACAGCTGCCCGCTCAACTGCTCCCACACTTGGGGCACCATCCTTTGTACCCCAAGGCCCCAGTCATGGACCTCATCCAGGACCACATGCCCCAGGACTCCTCCCCCAATCGCCTTCCCTCCCTTCCCCCGAGCCCAGTGCAGGGTCCCGGGAACACAGCTCCTTCCCTGAGCACAGAGTCCTCAGACGCATGAGTGCAGGTGGGCACTGGCTTTATTTGGGACCTGCTTCTGGAAGGCGCAGGCCTGCAGGTCTCCTGCTGGGTGCTCAGCTGGTCCTGGTGATCCCAGCTCACACCAGCAGCTTTACCCCCAAATCCTAGGTCTAGGCCGACCCTGGCCTGCGGCCACTGTTACCACCTCAGACACTGGGATCCCTACTCCTCTTGACCCCAAAGGTCAGCTATGTGGGCTGACGCCCCTCCCTGGGGCATCTTTGGACGGACCCTACATCCAGCAGAGATGTGGTCATCTTTGTCCTCTCAGGGCCTGGGAGCCAGCAGGTCTGGCCGGGTGTTAGGGTGGCTTCCTGGTCTCCTTCCTTAGCAGGGAGCTGGCCACAGCCAGGGCTCCCCCCTGCACAAACCTCACGAAGTTGTCCCCGGCCAGCGGCCCCATGGCGTACAGGCCCTCCTGGCGGGTGCTCTGGTAGGTGAAGGGGTCCACGTCAATGGGGTTCCTCTTGGTGCTCAGTGGCTGGTCAGGGTCCACTGCAAAGTCAGCCCCTGCCCCAGGCAGGAAGGAGAGGTCGGGGTGGGAGCCGATGAGGACCAGCACCAGGGAGACCTCAAACACCTTCTCGACACCCTTGAGGTCCTGGAACACGGCCTGGCAGTCTTCCTTGAAGCACAGCAGCCGGTGCCCGGGGAGGCTGCGGTAACCCTCGTAGGGGCTGGGCGACAGGATGGACTGCTCCCGCATCATCTGATGCACCTTGTGGTACTCAGGGTACAGCATCTTGGGCAGCTGGTTGAACACCAGGCCAGGGTCGTCCACGGCCCGGCGGAAGGCATGGATCACGGGGATGTTGTAGTGGCGGGCGTAGAGGATTGCATCAGCCGCTGACAGCCCCGCGCCAATGATGAGGACAGGGTCCGAGGCTGGGGTCAGCGCACCCACCCTTGTGGCCGCCTCCAGAGCGGACAGCTCATGGTGGATGAAGGGCAGGGCCTCCCCGGGGATGCCCAGCCGGGCTGGGCTGTCGAACGTGCCTGTGGCGAGGACCACGTTGCGGGCCCACAGCGAGAAGGGCTGCCGGCCCTGGTCCCTGCTCAGGAAGCCGCTCACCTGGAAGAGGGGGCTGGAGTCCTGGGCCCCACAGCTGTTGGGATTGGGGGTCCCCCACTCCACGGCTGTGACTACAGCACCGGACACAAAGTTATGCCCCAGACCCTTCTTGACCACGTAGTCCCTGTAGTAGTGGGCAATGTCCCCGGCCGTGGCCCGGCTGTTGCGAAGGCCTCTGTTGGGGAGGATGCAGGAGGCCAGAGTCAGACACTGTTAAGGGTTGGGGGGCTGGGTGGGATGGGAGAGGTCCAGGGCGGTATCAGGCCCTGGAGCTGGACTAGGCTGTAGCTGTAGGACTGGGCCAGGTAATTCAACCTCTCCAAGCCTCAGTCTCCTCTTCTGTAAAATGGAGCTAACAAGGGTACCTCCCTCAGGAGAGGTGGTATAGGGTAGTGTAGGGTGGTGTAGGGCGGGGTTCAGAGTGCAGCCTCCAGAGCCACACTGCCTGGGCTCGAATCTTGACTCTGCCATCAGGGAGCTGTGTCTGTTTCCCCAGTTTGCAAAATGAGGAAGATGTTGGTGGCAGGACCTATTTCGTGAGGTTGTGGAGAGGATTTGGTGAGCCGATAAAAACAAAGGGCTTAGGATGGGCCACCATGATTGTCACCTCAAAGGATTAAATATGGTATGATTCCGTTTTTATATAGTTCAGAAACAGGCAGAACTCATCTATGGAGTTGGACATCAAGAGAGGGGTTACCTCCGGGGATGGGGAAGGGGGTCCTGGTCGGAAAGGGCATGGGGGCTTCTGGGAAGAAGGTCGGTTTCTTGATTCTCTGTGCTTACCTTGAGAAATTTCATCAACTGGTACTCACAGGAGTTACGTACTTTTCTATATGTAGCTAATTTTTTAAATTTTATTTTATTATTATTTTTTGAGACAGAGTCTCACTCTGCTGCCCAGGCTGGAGTGCCGTGGCATGATCTCAGCTTACTTCGGCCCCCGCTTCCTGGGCTCAAGCGATTCTCATGCCTGTGCCTCCTGAGTAGCTGGGACTACAGGCATGCAGCGCCAAGCCTGGCTAATTTTTGTATTTTTATTAGAGATAGGGTATTGCCGTGTTGGCCAGGATGGTCTCGAACTCTTGACCTCAAGTGATCCACCGGCCTCGGCTTCCCAAAGTGCTGGGATTACAGGCTCGCGCCACTGCACCCGGCCCATATGTAGTCAATTTAAAAGTTGATTTAAAGACTCCCACGTGAGGCACTCGCCATCATTCCCAGCCCACACAGCAGCAGGAGGTATTTTATTATTGTTGTTGTTGTTTTAATTGTCACTCTTTCCAGGGGCAGTGACTGCAGGCCCATTCTTGTGGGGGTTGAATGATAGGCTTTGGCATCATCCTAGCACCTTCCTGTATCTCACTGTGTGACCTTAGATGAGTTAATTTACCCAGCTTGTGGGCTCATGTTTCAGGATGAACTCCCTTAGGGGAGAATCCTGTGCCACCTGCTGTCTGGCTACATGTAGCAGGAGCTGACAATGGACCTCCAAGGCCGTGCCAGTCAACCCAGCGCAGCTCGTCTGTGACCCTGGAATTTATCTCTGTGGGCCGCCATTCTCCTTTTCTCAGTTTTTGTAAAGGTTGTGATACAGAACGGTCCCAAGAGCATGTTCTGTGCGGAGTTATTTATAATAATGACACAATGGAAAGAATGAACGCTCCAGGGCTGGCAGGGGCTGGGTAACCTTGGCAGCGCCGTGAGGGCAGGGGGTGTGTCTGCGGTGGTTTTGTGCTCTGATGTCTAAGCCCAAGGCCTGGCACATAATAAGCATTTGGTGATTTGCCGGACTGGGGATGCTCACCCGCCTTTGGGAATATTGTGAGGCCACGTAAAAGGATGGTTTTGAACGCTGTGACATCGCCACATGAAATGCTTGGGATAGAATGTGAAAACGCAAAAGTAGGCTATAAAAGGCTGTGCTTACATGTGAAATGCAAGTTTCTGGCTGCCTACTAACACGTAGCTACACAAACCTGGGTGTCTTCCTGCCAAACATGCAGAAGAGTCTTTGCATCAAAGAGACAGTGAGGCCTGGAGGGGGACGCCTGGAGTGCCTGCCGTTGGGGACACAAGCCGGGTCACAGCCCTGGGGGCAGAGGAAGCCGGGCTTCCCAAAAGGCAGACGGCACCCGGGCATCTGCGCTGGGGCAGCTTCTCACTTGGGTGGACACACCTGGGAGAAGCAGGGGCTGGAAAACTCCTTTATTCAGTGATTGAAACTGTGAGAGGAAAATCAATCTTGGGCCCATGAATCACTAAGTTAAAGGAAAAGTCAAGCGGGCAACTGCTTAGGGCAAAGCTGCCTCCCATCCTACTCAAAGTCTTCCCTCTGCTCACTGAGAGAAACGCACATCTGACTGCCTGCTCCGGAAAGTCTCATCAGAAACTCCAGAATGCAACTTTGTCCCTCACCTGTCGGAGACCTGGAAACCCCCTTCCTGCTGGAGTTGTCCCGCCTCTGGACGGAACCAATGTCCATCTTACATATATTGATTGATGTCTCAAGTCTCCCTAATGTACACAGCCAGGCTGTGCCCCGACCACCTTGGGCACATGTTATCAGGACCTCCTGAGGCTGTGTCATGGTCATGCGTCCTCAACCTTGGCAATTAAACTTCCCAAATTGAGACCTGTCTCAGATATTCAGGGTTCACAAACCATTTCTCTAGGGTGGCCATGATGGGGCAGGAAGCCAGATGGGGAGAAAATACCCCAGCAGTGAAAGGGTGGGGAGAAGTGTGCGTTTCGGGTGAGCTGTTTTCCTTCTCCATTTCCAATAATCTGCATGACCTTAGGTGAGTTAGTTTACCCAACTTGTGGGCTCATGGTTAAGGATGAAACTCACCTGTAGCAAAAGCATTAAAAAAAAGAAGAAAAAAGAAAGTCATCCTGTGAGCTGACCCAGAAAGATGGTTCTAGGCCAGGCTCAGAATAGACTGAGGGGCTGAAGGGAGACCACGGACTGGGGGACCTGTGCCAGAGGCATGGGGCAGGGCGTGAGGGTCAGGGGCCAGCTGTTACCCCCTCCTTAGGGGCTGGGGCACTCCGGGGAGGCCCAGTTGGGGGCCATGTGACAGGATGGTCTGCTGCTTGCACGGGACAGGGGGTCATCAGGGGAGCCCAGCTCTGTTGCTCAGCTCCACTCATGTGGGCTGGACAAGTCCTTTCCCTATCTGAGCCTCAGTTTCCCCCTCTGGAAGAAGAGGAAGACAGACCAGATGCACTCTGAAACCCCTGTACCTCTGACTCCTGGGCTCAGTGTGGGGGGCCTGTGAAAGGAAAATAAATCTTGGGGCCCCCCAAATCACGAAGCTAAAGGGAAAAGTCAAGCTGAGAACTGCTGAGGGTCAACCTGCCTCCCCTTCTATTCAGTCACCCCTCTGCTCACAGAGATAGATGCATATCTGATCGCCTCATTTGGAGATGCTCATCAGAGCCTCAAAAGGATGCAACTGTTTATCTCTCACCTACCTGTGACCTGGAAGCCCCTCCCCGCTTCCTGCCTTTGCTTCAAGTTGGCCCACCTTTCCAGACCGAACCAGTGTACTTCTTACAAATATTGATTCACGTCTCATGTCTCCCTAAAGTGTTTAAAACCAAGCTGTGCCCGATCACCTTGGCTACACGTCCTTAGGACTTCCTGAGGCTGTGTAATGGGCGTGTCCTCAACCTTGGCAAAATAAACTTTCTAAAGTAACTGAGACCTGTCTCAGATTTTCTGGGTTCACAGGCCCAACCTTCCGTGTCCCCCAAGGCATCCTGGGGCAGCCTCACCTTCGCTTCTTCTGCATCCAGTCCTTGACCTCCAGGTCCGGGAGCCCCATCCACTGGCCTTGGCTCAGGGTCACCATGGAGCCTTCGATGGACTGCAGGAAAAGGAACGCTTTGGTCCAGGCCTCTGCTAACCTGAACCCATTTGGGGCTAGAGGGCATGGGAAGCCTTAGTTGGGGCTGGGTGGAGGGAGGAGGGAGAGGCAGGGTTGTGGGGTGGAGAATGAGGAAAGGGAGATGCCAGAATCCCAGCTTCAAGTGGGGAGAATGAGGGAGAGAGCCCCCCCCACAAGGCATGCCCTCGCTGCCCACTTACGTGCCAGGCTCCCCCGGGGAGGTTTCGGCCCAGGACCACATGGGGGATGGCGTGCTCCTCCTGGTGCTTCCAGGTGAGGACCGACTTCATGTTTCCCCCAAAGTCTGTGTCCGGGCGCAGAAGGGCATCAAAGAGCAGGGCCACGGGGCTTTGGGATCGGCCTTCGAGGCCTTCAGACAGGTAGTCCAGGTCCTGGAGTGGGGCACAGGTCAGAGGGGCTGCTGGAGGAGAGCGGGGTCGTCTTCCCAGAGTCTCAGGCTGGGCAGGAATGTGGGGACTGGGGCTGGGCCGTTTCCGTGGCACTGGAGGGTCTCAGAGAGATACGCACACTGGGGGCAGTTTGAAGCTCTCATTTTGAGGGCTTTCCAGGAGGCCAAGGGCCCCAGAGTACAGAGCAAATGGGCAAGCTTAGATGAGACTGGGGCGATTGCCTGAGCCTACATCCCTACCCTAATATCAGCGTGGTCAGATCAGCTGGGGAGGTGCTGCCTCTTTGTTTTTGTTTTGTTTTGTTTTTGAGACGGAGTCTCGCTCTGTCGCCCAGGCTGGAGTGCAGTGGCGCGATCTTGGCTCACTGAAGCGCCGCCTCCTGGGTTCACGCCATTCTCCTGCCTCAGCCTCCTGAGTAGCTGGGACTACAGGTGCCCGTCACCGTGCCTGGCTAATTTTTTGTATTTTTAGTAGAGACAGGGTTTCACCGTGGTCTCGATCTCCTGACGTCGTGATCCGCCCGCCTCAGCCTCCCAATGTGCTGGGATTACAGGCGTGAGCCACTGCGCCCAGCCGGCGGTGCTGCCTCTTAACAGTAGATAATGCAGGCGGGTTCTGACAAGTCCTGCAGCCATCCATCATTTACCTGTTTAATTTTGCCAAGCCCAGTGTGTCCCTGTTTTACTGGAGTGGGGACATTTTTCTCTGTATGTTATACTGAGGAACTAGTATTCTATGGAGAGCATTTTGAAAAATACTGATCCAGATCAAATGGTCAAGACCTATTTCCTCATCCCCAACTTGGGCGGGAGGGGAACAGGAGGATGTATGCTGCCTGACGAGGGAGGTCAACAAGGGGAGGTCGTGGAGGGGCACAGTGGAAAACAAGGGTATGGAGGGAGGATATGCAAACCCTTGTGGGCAGGAGGTAGTGGGACTGAAATATCTGTGGCAGAGTTCCTCAACCTTGGCCCCACTGACATTTGAGCCAGATCGTTCTTTGTAGCTAGAACAAAGTCATCCAAATGTCAGTGGGGCCAAGGTTGAGAAACTCCACCGCAGATATTTCAGTTCCACCACCCTCGCTGTCCTGTACAGTGTTGAACGTTTGCCAGCATCCCTGGCCTCCACCCTGCTAGATTTGGTAGTACCGCCACCCTGCCATGACAACCCAAATTGTCGCCAGACATTGCCAGGTGCCCCCAAGGAGAAAAATCGTCCCCTCCTTGAGAACCACGGGTCTAGGGCATAGTGAGTCCTAGACCATGTGGCATTTGTGGGTCTCTGATTTCTCTTTCATGATCTCCGTGGCTGACTTTGTGGACTCTTGAATTCTGTGTTTGGTCTTGTTTCCAGCAAACACACACTTTTGTTTTTCCCTGGGAAAGCTGCGGTAGTTTTCCAAGGGCGGGTGTGTCCTCCCCAGAGCTCCGGCCCCAGGCTGACCCACCTGGTCCAGGATGGAGACCCCCGGGGCCTCGGTGAGCTTCCTCTGCAGCAGGGGGTGTGGGTGGACAGCATCTGGCTTCACATAGGGTGTGTAGCCGGAGAGCAGGTACGACAGGCAGATACCAGAGGGGCCGTTACCTGGGGAGAGAGGGTGGAGGTTAAAGGGGGTGGCCTTTTCAGGTGGGAGACACTACTGTGGAACGCTTTGATCTAGATGTGGCACATTCATTCATTTATCCTTCATTCATAAAAATAAAATATTGATTAAGCCCTTAGCCTGTGCCAGACACTATGCCTAATGATAATTTAAAAAATAAGGAATGGACAACTGCTGAGAGCTTCTTCTGTGCCAGGAATTGTACTGAGAGCTTTCGCAATAGCCTCACAATAGCTTCAGTGAGGTAAGTGCTACTCTTTTCCTCCTTTTATCCTTGAGGAAATGTGTACAGAGAGGTTAAGTAACTTGCCCGTGGTCACACGGCTGGAAGGTAGATGAGCCGGGATTAAAACCCAGACAGAGGGAACCTCTGACAACATGACTGAGATTCTGAGATTGCTAACAACTAGGTCAGATGGATGAGGGAATGTAGCACAGACTGCTACGTGGCCTGGGGGCGAGCTTGAGTGGTGGGTGCTCGTGGGCGCTCAGGGGTGCCGGGCCACCTGTTGGGTCTGCTGCTTGCATGTCTGAAGAACTGCGCCACCATCTGTGGTGCTTCCTGGGCAATTCACCAGGCACAGCCCTGTGATAGCGCTTCTCTTTTTATCTGTCCTTTCCCCTCTCCTTATCTCGTCTGATTCAGAATATTACTCATATGTAGGATACCAGGAGGAACCATAAGAAATCACAGGCACCCATCTGTTTTTGCCTTACAGAAATGACCATCTCACGTGGCTCAACTGGACGCCTGCATACTGGGGGGTCATCTGTCGCCATTTTTGCAGACAGAGGACAGGAATTATAAGCAGCTGCTGTGTGTCCTCTCGTGTGGGCACCTAGCACAGTGCTGGGCACAGGGTAGTCATGGGACCACTGTGGGCTCAGGACCAGGCCTCCCTGCCCCACACTGGGTTGCCTCCAGCTGATGGGTGTGTTCTAGAGCCCTGGGTTCTCGGAGGTGTAAAAGGGAATGATAGTTTATAAACGGCTAAGCCTAGCACTGGCCACATAGTAAACGCTCAATGGCTTAAAGACCACTGTAAAGAGGCCAGGCCTGGGCCAAGCATGGTGGTTCACACCTATAATCCCAGCACTTTGGGAGGCTGAGGCAGGCAGATCACTTGAGGTCAGGAGTTCGAGACCAGCCTGGCTGACATGGCGAAACCCCGTCTCTACTAAAAATACAAAAGTTAGCTGGGCATGGTAGCGAGTGCCTGTAATCCCAGCTACTCGGGAGGCTGAGGCAGGAGAATGGCTTGAGCTCGGGAGGCGGAGGTTGCAGTGAGCCACGATCGCACCACTGCACTCCAGCCTGGGTGACAGAGTGAGACTTTGTCTCAAAACAAAAACAAACAAACAAAAAAACCCCCTGAAATACAAAAAAGAGGCCAGGCCTGGACTTGCCCAGTTCCTGCCCTCAGACCTGGGGGGTACCCGGAAGGCTCAGTGGAGCCCCTCCCCGGCTGCCGCTGACACTCACCCACGATGATGACTGGGAGGGGCTCTGAGCTGCTGGCGCCGAGGTGGTCCTTTCTGGAGGAGCTCATGGCTGGTGGGGGGCTTGGGGCTGGCGGTGGACCTGGAGCGGGGGAGAGGGGAAGGAAGAGCCCGTTTGGGTGAGGCCTGGGTGTCCACACAACCACTTCACCTTCCAGCTAGGGTGGCCTCCTGTGGCCCCTAGGGTCTTGTCCGGGGTCCCCGTGAGGCATATCTGATGGGACTCCCTTCTTGCTCCCACACAGCCTCTGCTCCGAACAGCCCGTCTGCCCCACCCCTCCCCGGTCATGCAGGACGTGACCTTCCCTCCTCTGGCCTAGTCGCCCCAGGCAGCCACTGTCCCTCTGAGCCTCACTCTACTCTCCCATCTCACTGGAGCAGCAACAGTCCCCGAAGCTCATTATCTGTCTTCCCGAGAGGCCGTTCCTGGCCAACCCAGGAACAAGCCCTGCCAGGCCCTTCTGTGGGCCACAGCCCTCGAGTCCCAGTGTGGCCTGGTGGACTTTGGAATTGTCACCCAGCCCTGGTAAGTTGCTCCCTATCCCATTCCTGGGCCTCTCTGGGTCTCAGTTTCCTCATCTGTAAAATGGAAGCAGTGGGTCCCTACCTCCTAGGATGGTTGAGGGATGCAGTGGGCTCACAGATGGGAAGCACCTGCCTGGAGCGAATTTACCATGGGGAAAGGGCCAGTGCTGTGGCCTGCCCCAGGGGCTGGGCTGGACTTGGGGAAATGGAAGCAGTGGCCAGGTTTGGGGACGTGCGGGTGAACCTGCCATCTCTGGGGCAGCTGCGCCCTCTGCTGGCCCCAGGCCCAAATCGCTCAAAGGGACTCAGGTGCTGGTCCTAGAGCTGCCAGTGCCCAGAGGGGCATCAGACCCACCTTCTCCCCTACACCAGCTCGCAGAGGACACTAGCCTCACCCGAGGGCCACACGCTGCCAACACCTTTGTGGGCGCAGGGTTGGTGAGCATTTGGCACTTACTCTGTACCAGGTATTTGACATGCTTTTTCTCATATCCGCCTCACACTGACCCTGTGCAGTCCTGGCCGTGTTAATGTCCCTTTCCACAGATGTGTGAATGGGGCTCAGAGAGGTCGCACAAGCTTCTCAGTGTCGTGCAGCTGGCTTTGAAACCCAGGGCTCACTGGTGCCAAGGCCCTGCCAGTGCCACCACCCACGCCATTCGGCCTGTCCCCCATGGAGATCCAGGTGCCACACTCACAGGGGAAAGACTGAGTGGGAGGGCACTGGGCTTGGACCATCCAGAGTGGCCAGGGGTGGGGGCCCAGGGTCACCTGCCTCCAGAATTCTTCCAGAGAAAGTGGGAATCTGGATTTCTATGCGAATTATCTGCTTTGAAGAAGTGCGCAATGCATGAAAGCACGGTTTTGGAAGATCCTTAACAGGCCAGCCAAACACAGCTGAGACCAGTGTGTGGCCTCTGATGTGCGCAGGGTGACAGAAACACCATCGTCCACCTCCAGGCAGGCTCCGAGGAGATGGATGAGAGACTGCCATACAGATGGGCCACTGAGAGGACCCGAGTGTTGCCCCCGCAGTGACAACAACTGACCTTCTCACAGCACTCTACAGTGGGAAGGAGGTTGCATCTAAGCAGTAGCATCCAGCCCACTCAGCAGCCTTGACAGGTGAGCCCTGTCACCTCCGTCTTGCAGGTGAGGGGAAGGAGGCTCCGAGGGTGAGGATGAGCCCAGCAGGGAAGGGGTCTGTCAGGGACCCCTGTGTTGGTGCTCTCTGCTCCCCTGAGCGCAGCCTTCCTTGCCTCCGCTGGGGCGGGGGCCAGGGACAGCTTCCGTGTCCTGTCTAGGCAAGCCCGTATGCCCAGCACCCGAGACCTCCTCCTCCCTTTCCGGAGAGAAGGAAGGCGACATCCTGCAGTCGCCAGGGACCACGTGGCCTCTCCCTGCCCGGCTCCCTGCGAGGCCCCAGGATGCCTGCCTGGGGAGGGGATTTCAGGTGACGCCGCCACCAATTATAATAGTAATAGTCACAAGAACAACAAAGGCAGCATGTGGCTGACATTTCCATACTTCTGTGGAGTGGGCTGCGTGCCAGGCATGATCTCAACACTTAATACGCATTAACAAATTGAATCCTTATTTAATCGGGTTGTTGTAAGTACTCTGAGGGCCAGAGAGTTTCTCACGGCCCTTTACAGTCTGCAAGGTGGTTGAACCAGCTTTCACAGGCTGGGCTGGATCGGAGCCCAGGTCGCCCTGCTCCAGAGCCTTCTCTGTGCCCCGAGGGCTGTGACAGCTCCTGCTGAGACCCCTCTGCCGGGTGGAATGTGCAGTGTCCGTTCCAGGGTCCCCCACTGCTCTGTCACAGCGCTAGTGGCAGGCGGGGAGGCAGAGGGACAGCTGATGACCTGGTGTTCTGGCCGGGAAGGGATCATTTCTCATTGACCCTGAGCGCTGGGTATACCCAGAGGCCTTGGAGAATAGGACTGCGGGTCCCGGAGAGCTTTCTCTGGCTCGCTCCTGGTACCTTTCTCTGGCTTGCTCCTGGTACCCTCGAATGGCTCCGAGCCCCTCAGTCCTCATCATGGTCCACGGGAACAGCAGCCACTGGGGAGCATGGGACCTCCTGGTAAGGGGCTTCCCCACATTACCTCCTTTGATCCTCCTAGCAACCCACTTTGCAGATGAGGAGACTGAGGCTTGGAGAGGTGAAGCCATGCCCTGAGGCTATCGAGCCGGTGGGCGATGGAACCAATATTTGATCCCCGTGGGCTGACCCCCCGGACACCCCAACCCCTTCCCCAAACGGGTGAGCCAACGTGCTCCATCTGCCCCAGTGCACCCGCCCTGGGCCATGCGATTCTCCCACCACTCTGAGAAACACACTTGCAGGAGCCCCTGTTGGCCAGTGAGGAATCTGAACTGGCTGCCCCTTACCAGCCTCTGCAGGCAGCAGAGGGCACTGATTTACCGCCAGGGCTTTGGGGCTCCAAGTCCAGGGCTCCCTCCTGAGACTGTCCTCAGGCACCTGAACAGAAGCTTCTGGATGCCACATACGTGAGGTCACCACCCAGGGGCTGGACCTGAGAAGTCACTTCCTGCGCAGAGTGACCCACGACGCCCCAAAGTCCCAAGCAGCTTGACGCTGTCACCCATTACCTCAGACAAGTATGCTGCCAACTTACAAAAGAGCGTCCAAAGTTTCATTTCAGTTCTTTTTGTGCTTTTCAGTTTTATGGGGTTGGAAGAGTCAATTTTTAATGTTATCTTTTTAACTCCCTTTGATTGAAGACGGCAGTAGATGGAAAGAAGTTAACATTAAAAATTGATGTTTCAAATTTCACAAAGGCAAATATGATAAAAGAAATGAAAACAGTTGCACCTTCGACTGATACTTCTTTCAAGTGTGCAGCATTTGTACTTCTGAGGTTGTTAAAGCTGCAAACGGCTCTGAGACTCTGGGACACCTGTATGTCTGCATTTCTTTGGCACCTCTAGTGGCCATTTACTCATTTGCCTTTGAAGACACCCCAAGAGGTGGGCTTTCTCATCCCCATTGTGCAGAGGAAGAAACGGCCTTCAGGAGGAGTGGGCGCCTTGCCTCAGGTCACCTAGGAGTGTCCAAGACCATGGCCATGTGACAAATCTTAGTTCTGCCAAGTCCCCTCCAGTAAAACAGCTGATTACAGGGAGACCAAGAAAGTGACATGAAGCCCTGGGGGGCTAAAGTGTGAGGAGGTGGTCTATCCACGCAAGCGGCACTTGCTGTTTATCACAGATGAGCCCTCACCCCAGTGCCGCACACCTGGAGCCCAGGATCTCCTGCAGCTCCCCAGCCTCCCAGGGGCCACCCTACCGACCCACCGCACTCTTGAGCCTCCTGAGAGAAGCTAAGTCGCTGGGACCTCCGGGGCTTGGGGGCTGTTCATGGGCACCCATGGCTCTGTCCCTCCTGAGCAGGAGAAGCAGAAACCGGGAGGGCACCCAGCCTGGCTGCCGACAGAGTGGTCGTAGAACAGCGGGCGGCACACCCGGCTGGCCACACCCCTCTTTCCTGCTAGGAACGGCGGTTACATGGGCCAGGGTATGCTGGGACTGTGGCCGCTTCAGCTGCTTGGCTGAGGGTGCCAGGGACACAGCTGAGGATCTGGGAGGAACCTGGGGTAGGGGAGAATCCTGCCGGGCTCCAGAGAACCCAGGGGAGGGCCTCCACTCAGGACCGCCCGGGATCACTGCCTGGCGCCAGGGCTCTGCAGACCCTCCAGTCCAGCTGGGCCTGCCACTGGTGCCTGGGATGTGCCTGATTCCCTGCCCCGGAGCCTGGCCCCGGACACTCACCTGACAGGCAGTGGTGCGGGAGCCCGGCGAGCCTGGCCAAGTTGTGCTCTAGGAGGGTCAGGGGATCACAGATCACAGAGTCCCCCGTGAGATCGGGACACCCATTACCCCGTGGGGATCCAAGAGGCTCTGAGAGGCCAGAGGGAAGTGAGGGTATTTCACAGGGAGGGAGGAGGCGGCGCAGGCAGTGGGCGGGGCCAGGAAAATCACTTTCATAAGCGTGAGTCAGCAAGGACCCGTGATGAATGAACTTGCACACTGGGCGGGTGTCACGCTGCCTGCCTCATGGCCAGCCTTAAAGGGCCCCTGCTGGGCAGCATGCCAGGGGGCCTAGGGTGGCCCTCCCTCCCAGCCACCTCCCCCCAGCCAGACCCCCATCCCCAGGGCTCAGTCTCTGGAGGAGGAACCAGTAACCTCTGAATGAGCCAGCCTGGCCTTTCCCACAAGGAGGAGGAGATGGCTTTGTCCGGCGCACAAAGTAAACCCGTCCAGTTCCCTCATTCCACCTGGATTCTACTGCACCCTCCAGCCCCCAAAAGCCCTCTGGCACCAGCCTGCCTGGGCTGAGAATCCAGCTTTGCCATTTCCTGGCTGCAGGGCTCTGGCAAGCTGCTTAGGGCCCACACCTCAGTGTTCTCATCTGAAAACTGGGGCAAGTCACAGATTGTCTCTGCCAGAGTGGCTGTGAGGGTTTAAATGACATCTTTCTGGGTTGCCATGCTTAGAACTTGAAGCCTGCTCCCTGGCTCTTCTCTCCTGTTTTGTGTGGGTAGCACTGCACACCCCACACCTTGCTGTTTCCTAATTGTTATTATTATTATTTGAGACGGAGTTTAGCTCTTGTTTCCCAGGCTGGGGTGCAATGGCGCGATCTCGGTTCACTGCAACCTACACCTCCCGGGCTCAAGCAATTCCCCTGCCTCAGCCTCCTGAGTAGCTGAGATTACAGGCGTGCGCCACCACGCCCGGTGATTTTATATTTTTAGTAGAGATAGGGTTTCACCATGTTGGCAAGGCTGGTCTGGAACTCCCGACCTCAGATGATCTGCCTGCCTCAGCCTTCCAAAGTGCTGGGATTACAGGCGAGATGCCGCACCCGGCCTGTTTCTGAATTATTTTATTGTCTCTCTTCCCAAACCAGAACGTGAGCTCTGTGTGGGCAGGAAGGCGTATTCGCGACTGCTCTACCCAGCGTCTAGAATAGCACTTAGCACACATAGGTGCCCAATATCGCTTAAACAGAAGGGAGGCACGGAGGGAAGCAGGGAGGGAGGGAGGGGAGAGGGAGGGAGGGAGGGAGGGGGGAGGGAAGTAGGGAGGGATGGAGGGAAGGAGGGAGGAAGGCAGGGAGGGAGGAGGGAGGAAAGTAGGGAGGGACGGAGGGAAGGAAGGAGGAAGGAGGGAGGGAGGGAAGTAGGGAGGGAGGTGGGCAGAAAGGAGGGAGGAAGGCAGGGAGGGAGGGAAGGAGGGAGGGAGGGAAAGGGAGGAAGGCAGGGAGGGAGGGAGGGAAGTAGGGAGGGAGGAGGGAGGAAAGTAGGGAGGGAAGTAGGGAGGGAGGAGGGCAGGAAGGAGGGAGGAAGGCAGGGAGGGAGGGAAGGAGGGAGGGAGGGAAAGGGAGGAAGGCAGGGAGGGAGGGAGGGAAGTAGGGAGGGAGGAGGGAGGAAAGTAGGGAGGGAAGTAGGGAGGGAGGAGGGCAGGAAGGAGGGAGGAAGGCAGGGAGGGAGGGAAGGAGGGAGGGAGGGAAAGAGGGAGGAAGGCAGGGAGGGAGGGAGGGAGGAAGCTGACACGGTGCACACATAGACCTCAGTGTACATTTGCTGTTATTTTCAGTGTTGATGTTGTTGTAGACCTCATCCTCCCATCTGCCACCTTGGAGGGGTGGGGGATGGGGGGTGCACCTTTGAGTGCAAACTTTAAGAGGAAACCAAAACCAGTAAACAAAATAGTATTTTGAGGCAATTAAAAAAATCTAAATTAATGCAAAAAAGCCAGGATAAACCCAGACAGCTTCCAGAGCAGTGCCTTGGGGCTGATGCAAAAGGAGAACCAGGACTTCCGATGCTGTGTTTCTAATAAAAGTTTGATCTTTTTTTCATTCTGGATTTTTTTTCATGAATTTTGATTTGTAAGAACACTGCATGTACACAGTATGTATTCTGGTGATGGGGGTGCTTTGGCGCCGCTAAAATTTTGTGCCTGAGGTGATGCCTCACCCTCCTCACCCTCGTCGTGGACCGGGTGGCCACAGCCCTGCCCTGGAGTCATGTACAGCCTGGAAACCGCAGCCCAGGGCCCCGGAGCATCTGCTGGCAGGGCTGGGGCTGGGTCCTGGTGAAAAACACTTCTGATGAGGTGAGAGTAGCAGGAACCTACAGAGGGGAGGGGGGGGAGGGAGGGGGGAGGGGGGAGGGAGGGGGGGAGAGAGAGAGAAAATGAGAATGTTGTGCATGTGTGCACATGTGCTCATGTGTGCATGTGTGTGTGTACCTGTGTGCCAGTGCTGGCACTAAGGGAGGGCCTGATGGCTGGGGGTAAGTGTTTAGGGGGCAGAATGAGAAGCTGGGGTGAAAAAGCTTAGGGAAGAGGTTAGACACAGTTAGGGCCACGTGCACAGAGGGCCAGGAGGGCTGGGGAGAGAGCCAGGACTGAGCTGGGTCTCTCCTTCCCCTCTTCTGCTTCCCTGGGTGACCTGTGCCCAGGACCCTGTGATCGGAGAGCCCAGAGTTTGGTTTAATGCTCTGCTGCCACTGCCTTAAAATTCTTAATTTTGAACACGAATGTCCTGAATTTCCATTTAGTACTAGGCCCCAAAATCTCATGATGCGTCCAGCCTGGGGCTGTACCCTGCATGAGGCTGGGTAGGTGGGAGCTGTCTGTGGGTTCAGCCCTGGCGGGCTGGGTAGGCTTTGACAAGGCATAGTCCCCTCAGCCTCAGTTTTAACCAAGGGAAATTGGCCCTGGTATTCCTTTCCTCCTGGGGCCCTCAGCAGCAGTGTCGCACAGGGTGGTGGGGGGGTGGCGGGGGGAGCAGGAAGCCCCTTGCTCTGAGCCTTGGCTCTTGTCCAGTGTCTAGCCCCACCACAGGTGTGCTGTGTGACCAGGGGTGGGAAGCTTCCCTGTCTGGGCTTCTGTTCCAGCTGTAGCCTTGTGATGAACAATCTCTCACACTCTGAATGTGCAGCTCCAACACACCAGGACCTAGACAGGGGTTTTGAACATGAGGGCAGGGAGCGGGGCCGCTGCGGCCGACGTACCTCTTGTCTGCACTGCATATTTCCCCGGCAGGAGCCTCTCGGTCTCCACTTCCCCATCCCACGGTGCCCAGTCTGCAGCTTCCAAGAGATTTTGGGTGTGTAAACTGAGGCAGAGAGAGACATGCACCCAGGATCAGAGACCCCCCCCCCACCCTGGAGTGCACAACTCCTTAAGGCTGGGGCTTGAGAAGGCCTGAGGCTGCGGGTCTGGAGGGGAGACCCGGGAAGGAGGTGGGCTTCCCCGGACCCCGTCTCGTCTCCTGGGCTTGGCCTGGCCCTTCCTCCAAACCTGTCCTGCCCCTGCTGACCCTGACCTTGTTCTAGAATTTGAAAATTTGCTGATATGGAGAACTGTGGGGCGGGACGTGGACTTTCCTCCCTGCCGTCTTGTTTACCTGTTAGGTGATTATTGGAAACAGAATTGCTGAGTTGCTCCTGGAAAGTTTGACTAAGACAAAGACAGACACTGTTAAAGGCAGGCAAAAGGGCGATGGTTAGAAGGGCCACGGGGAGGGGAGGAGCCAAATGGGTCTTTGCAGGCTGACTTGAGGGGGCTGTCTTGGGGGCCAGTGGGTGCCCTGGTTCCCCTGGACCGGCCTTGTGCTTTGAGGCCATGAGTTCAAGTGGCTACTGAGAGCTTGCCACGTGATCCTCCAAATTCAGGTGTGCCCACAGGACGGTTTCCAGAGACAGCAAAAGAAAATAGAGGTTCCAGGGAAATTTGAAATTCAGATAAATAAGAAACAAACTTTTAGTATAGCTTCAATATTGCACGTGACATACTTATACTAAAAGTTTATTTCTTATTTACCTGAAAATTCAAATTTCCCTGGCAGCCTGTGTTTTGTTAATTCTAGTTGTAAATGTAAAATACATACCAGAATTCAAAGAATTAGTACCAAAAAGGTAAAATATCTCATTCATAATTTTAATATGGATTACATGTTGCAATGAAAATAAGGAAAATATTTGACATACTGGGCTAGATAGAATATATTATTAAAATTAGGCTGGGTGCGGTAGCTCACTCCTGTAATCCCAGCACTTTGGAAGGCTGAGGCGGCCGATCACCTGAGGTCAGGAGTTCGAGACCAGTCTGGCCAATATGATGAAACCCTGTCTCTACTAAAAATACAAAAATTAGCCAGGCATGGTGGCAGTCACCTGTAATCCCAGCTACTCGGGGAAGCTGAGGCAGGAGAATTGCTTGAACCCAGGAAGCAGAGGTTGCAGTGAGCTAAGACTGAGCTACTATACTTCAGCCTGGGCGACAGAGCGAGACTCCATCTTAAAAAAAAAAAAAAGAGGCCAGGCGCGGTGGCTCACGCCTGTAATCCCAGCACTTTGGGAGGCCGAGGTGGGCGGATCACAAGGTCAGGAGATCGAGACCATCCTGGCTAACACAGTGAAACCCCGTCTCTACTAAAAAGTACAAAAAAACTAGCTGGGAGAGGTGGCGGGCGCCTGTAGTCCCAGCTACTTGGGAGGCTGAGCCAGGAGAATGGCGGGAACCCGGGAGGCGGAGCTTGCAGCGAGCCGAGATCGCGCCACTGCACTCCAGCCTGGGTGACAGAGTGAGACTCCGTCTCAAAAAAAAAAAAAAAAAAAAAAATATATATATTTTCACTCATCTCTTTTTATTTTAACCTGGCTACTGGGATGTTGGAGGACACACATGGCTCTCGTTGGGTCTTTGTTGGACACTACTGGTGTGGACCTCGGCACTGTTGCTAACAAGAGCTGGGACATTCCAGGGTTCCTCACTGAAAGCCCCACTCTGTCCCAGGAACCCCCAGGCCTGGGTAAACCAGGACAGTTGGTCACCCTGCAGTGCCGCAAGTGCCCAGGTGGACAGTGTGGCCAGTAGAGGTGCGGTCCTTCTGAGCCTCAGTTT